CCAGGTTGCAGAAACCTGGCAGATTGAACAGCAGCTAAAAGTGCAGCAATTTATTAAAGTAAAATTAGGGAGGTTAATAAATCTACTCTAAATATTAACTAAAGGCTTTAAATTTAAACCAACAGAACAATAAAAGCATCCTGGTTAACTTCATACTTATCTGAAATATCTTTATAAAAATAGAAAATATATATGTGACTTTCACTGAATCAGGACTTTATAAGTTATTGCAAGAACAACAAAACATCATCAGTGTTTTCTCCAGACTGATCTATTGTAACTAAACCACAGGAGTCAAACTCCAGTCCTCAAGGTGACCTGCAGTGTTTAGATGAGCCACAGGTACAAAACACTGCAATGAAATCACCATAATTACCTCCTCCTTGTGGATCAGATCTGCAGAGCCTTAATGACCTAATTACTCTATTCAGGTGGTGCAGCAGAGGCTCAGCTAAAGGTTTCAGGGCATCAGCCCTCCAGGACTTTAAAAGAAGAGACTCAGCAGAAAATTTAAAGCCAAACTAATAATCACTTCCAGTTTCTTCAGCACAGCAACAGTGAAACACGTGAAAAATAAAAACAGAGCAAATGTCTGGCTTTACTTTTCCTCTTAAAGACTGTTTTGCAGTTTAGTTAAATGTTTCCGTGTTTTCAGTGAAAATGTCTTCAGTTCAGCCTCAGAGAGTTTATCAAGCAGCAGGAAACTCCTGCTGAAGAAACATTCACAGAGTGGAAAGAAATCAACGTTAAGATGGAGGAAGAGATGGACGATCAGCGCAGACTGATGGATTTTACCCGGATACCCAAGATCATCTTGCACCGGATAGGTACGAAACAGCTGCAGTAGCTGTCATTATTTTAATTGATTGTATACATTGATATTAATTTAATTGGTGAATCAATAAAACCAGAGCACACAGAGCATGCTCATTGCTCTGTGATAGTTCTGTGCTGCCTGGCTTCATGCAGCAGGAGAAAAAGTGAGAACTGTCACAGTGTTTGGTTATTTCTGCTTGTTGCTCCTTGGTCTGTGTTCTTGATGGAGCGTTGTTTACCACTAGTGCATTGCCTTAATTGCTATGTTTAATAGTGCAGACAGTGGTGGTTTCTGATATGAGCAATATGGGCAACCGCCCAGGGCGTTAACTTTTAGGGTTGGCATGAGACTTCCATGGATTGTAGCACAGAGCAAAGTAGAACAAAGAGTTTGAATTGATAATATTGGTTAAATTGATTTGTTTTTATGGGAATGTGGATCTTTCAGACCAATTTTATTAGCACTTTTGCTAATATTTCACATTTTATAGTCATGTGGCGGCTGGTCTTGGTCTCTGCTTAGATGGTCTTGACTATAACACTATGTAAAGCTATTTAAAGGGCCGTTTAATTTAACTAAAAAGAAATGTCATAATACTAATGGTCAGATATTGACTTAGCAAGCAGAGTTAATAGAGATGGTTCAGTTTAAATATTTAGTATTTTACTGTAAGTTACAGTGTGGGACCATTATTTGATAAGTGCCATCATATTCTGTCCATAAGAATAGCAAAGAATGATGTAAACCTGCAACAGCGCCTCCTACAGTCACAATGTGCAGTGGTCACAGAATATGGTGTAACGTCCCTGTTGGCGAGAAGCGAATCTTGAAGGGAGTTAACGTCAGCTAGCCAGACTGCATATTTCCAAATGTTGGCACATTTGACGGCATTAAGTTTAATTGCTGGTAAAATTATTAACCACATGCAGACATTTGTTTATTCTAATAAGGTAAATAACAATCTCTCTGAAAGACGATGGAAGAGATTTCATTTTGTAATGTTTGCTGATTGATATATATACATTTTCCCCTCCTGGGGGTTTCTGTGGGCTCTAGTGTCCCTTATAAGAAAGAAGGCTGACAGGAATGTAGTAAGGAAAGACATGCGGCAAATATCGTCGGGTCCGGAAATCAAACCCCTGACGGCCGTGTGGAGGATTGAAGGCCTCCAATCGTGGGTTGCGCTACCACAGCACGCCCCCTGATGAAGAATATTTTCATTTTAGTTTTTAATTAAACTGAAGAGTTCATTGTGTGACCTCACATTTTGACTTTTTTTTCCAGATTTCCCACAAGGCAGTGTGTGCAAAGAGGAGGAGGATCTTAATGAGATAAGAAACACGGAGAGAAACTTCACTTCAGATCAAGATCATCCAGAATCTCTGCAGATAAAACTGGAACAAGAGGAACTAGAACCTCTGCAGATAAAATTGGAACAAGAGGAACCAGAACCAGAACCTCTGCAGATGAAACTGGATCAAGAGGAACCAGAACCTCTGCAGATGAAACTGGAACAAGAGGAACCAGAACCAGAACCTCTGCAGATGAAACTGGAACAAGAGGAACCAGAACCTTGGCAGATCAAAGAGGAAGAGGAGCAACTTTGCATTAGTCAGGATGAAGAGCATCTTGTGATGAAACAGGAAATTGATGACATTTTGAAACAAACAGCAGAAAAACTCAACAGAGACTTCAGAACAAGAAACGCACATGAAAGCTCAGCCAGACCAAAATCTATATTCTTGTCAAATTTGTGATGAAACTTTTCTCAAATAATTCCTTCATGAATCACATGAAAAGTCACACGGCTAAGAAACTTTTGACATGTTCCACCTGTGGAAAACTTTACCCTCACAAGAGTCGTTTAATTGCTCACATGAGAATTCATACAGGTGAAAAACCGTTCACTTGTCCAGCTTGTGGAAAAAGTTTCCGTCTGAACAACTCTTTAAACAGACACAAGAGAATTCACTCAGGTGAGAAACCTTACACCTGCACAACCTGTGGAAAAAGTTTTGTGTTTAAATGTCATTTACATAATCACATCAGAATTCACACGGGTGAGAGGTCTTTCTTATGTGAGATCTGTGGAAAATGCTTCCGGAGGAAACCTCAGTTAGTTAATCACATCAGAATTCACACGGTGAGAAACCTTTCTCATGTGGGACTTGTGGAAAAAACTTCATTCGAAAAGAAAGTTTAACTGTTCACATGAGATTTCACACGGGTGAGAAGCCTTTCTTGTGTGGGACCTGTGGAAAAATCTTCTCTTATAAGAATGCCTTAACTTTTCACATGAGAAATCACACAGGTGAGGAGCCATTCTCATGTGGACTTGTGGAAAAAGTTTCACTCGAAAACAATGTTTAACTGTTCACATGAGAACTCACACAGGTGAGAAACCATTCTCATGTGAGATCTGTGGAAAGATGTTTACTCATAAGGATACCTTAAACTACCCACTTGAGAATTCATACAGGTAAGAAACCGTTTTGTGTGGGTCCTGTGGAAAAAATTTCGCTCATGAACAGACTTTAATTGTTCACATAAGATCACACACAGGCGAGAAACCATTCTCATGCGAGGTCTGTGGAAAATGTTATGTGAATAGAACCGGTTTACGTAATCACGTGAAGATTCACACGGGTTAGAAGTCTTTCTTTTGTAGATTCAATAGAAAAGGTTCACTCAAAACAAATGTAACTGTTCACATGAGAACTCTCACAGGTTTGATGCCACAATGTGAACCTCAAGATTCTCAGTAAGTTGCTGTTTTGAAGTGGAGTAATTGCAACCAACTAAAATTTTTAAATGTATCAGGTTTTGCTTATGAAGCATTTTAAATTGGATATTTAGATTAAATTCTTTAAAATTCACTTTATTCTGGCAGTTTTATATTTCCATTTTATTTAATGAGACTAAGGGAGAGGTTGTCTCCAAAGAAACAATGAGTTTGAATGCTTTCAGATTTACACTTCTAAAATTGTGAAATATTTATAGTGATTTTATCCTTTGTACTTATTTTTTTTTATTTATTTCAATGATTTGGAGAAATGGATGCATTTCTTTGACATGGTATTAATGATTTTCCTGCTTAGAAAATGTATTGATGATATGGATTGAATTTTAGATTGAAACTGTATAATTTTAGAAAATGAATTATCATAATCATGGCCTTTTTCTTATTTTCTGTTTAGTAGAAAGACTGTGGGACAGACTAGATTTATACAATTACAACTCCTCCCTCTCTGAATTCTGCTTCAGATGTTCATGGAAACTGTAAATGATTTGGCTGGAATCAGAGACTGGAATAAAACCTTCAGTTTGAAACTAATAGTCCATCTCTTCCTCCTTCGCATTGCACACATTTTAAAAAAGTCAATATTCTTTCTACTGAGTACTTAACAGACTGAGTCTATACTTATACAAATTAAAGAGAAAAGAACTTATTAGCCATAATTTAACAAAGAATTAACCTAAATAAGATTAAACACAAAACTTAAGTACAACTAATCCAGAGGTTCCCAAAGATTTTTCGGGCTCCCTATGGATTACAATAAAATCCCTGCCAAAAAAGAATCAACCGGGCACACACATCGTTCAACCAGACATAAACCTATTCACATATTTTGTTTTCAAACTTGACTGAGGTTTATTTTCACACTTAAGGCTGCAAACTAAGTGTGAAAATACTTTACAGTAAAATACTTATGCAACTTTTGTTTTTTTCATCCTGCAAAAAACAAACCTACAAAGTAGGTGTAGTATCAGGTTCTGGTCAGTAGGTGGCAGCATGTAGGTGCTACTGTGTCAGGCCACATTTCTGATATAAAATGTTTTTTATTCAACATCCATCCATCCATTTTCTTACACCCCTCTCTCCCTAATGGGGTCGGGAGGAGTGCCAGCCTCCAGCGAGACATTTCGGGCGAGAGGCGGGTTAAACCCTGGACAGATCGCCAGGCTGTCGTACATTTTTTGATATTAAAAGAAAACTTTAATAAATAAAGCTTTCATTCAAAACAACTAAGAAAAAGAATAAAAGGTCATAATTAACTGAAAAAGCTTAAACATTAGTCTGTGCGTAATTATTTTCTATACACTGAGTTAGTGAAACAAAAAAAAAATAAATGGATAAAAGGAGTTTATTCTGATGAACTATCACCCTTACAGACATAAATGATTTTCACTCGAGCAGCACTTTATTAATTATTGCAAAAATTCATGATCAGTGTTTTCAATCTAGTCTGTTCTAACTACACACTCGATACTTATTGTTGGTCTCAAGTTGACACAAAGTTATCACAAACCAACATTTCTGGCTTATAAAGATCATCAAAACCTTAAATTATAGAACTGTCCATTCTAATCTAAACTCTGACTAATTTCCGATAGGATGAACGTAACTTTGCTGTGGAAGCAAAACTATACAAACCAATAAAATAAACTATTTTCTAAAATTACGCTAACAATTGACCTCTCAAGAGCACTCATTTATTTAATAAAACAGTATATTAAAAGAGGAGGCTCAAAGCGGAACTAAAAGTCGTTTAGTGTTTCTTCAGTACAGCCAGAGTGAAACACACGAAAGATAAAAACAGAGCATACGGGATAGCATTAGCTTTTCTTTTGTGAGACGGTTGTCTGAAGACAAATTTGGCGTTTTAGTTAAATATTTCCGTGTTTTCAGTAAAAATGTCTTCAGTTCAGCCTCAGAGAGTTTATCAAGCAGCAGGAAACTCCTGCTGAAGAAACATTCACAGAGTGGAAAGAAATCAACGTTAAGATGGAGGAAGAGATGGACGATCAGCGCAGACTGATGGATTTTACCCGGATACCCAAGATCATCTTGCACCGGATAGGTACGAAACAGCTCCACGGTTTACTGATGATCCAGGTTGAATAAAACTCTTTGTGGCTGCGCTGAATTCGTAAAGCTATTAAAGGAGTATTACACCAAACCAAATCCGCTCCGTCTGAAAACATTCAGCTAATTTGATCAACTGTGACCTGGATTATGACTTCTTCTTTTTTAAAACAACACTAGATGTACAAAAACAACATTTTTGCTGATACCATCATTAGCCAGAGAGCTATTGCAGCATCATGTACATGAATGGAAGTTAGGCAATACACTGAGTGCATGAGATACATTTTATAACAGACTCAAAGTCCAACTTGCATAAAAAATAAAACAAACAAACAAATAGAATAAAAGTACGTAAGAAATAGCTACTAACCATTCAGGACAATCACACCAGTATCTCCAGAGCACAGATGAGTATTTTACTGCACTATATTTAACATTGGTCAACATTACAATAGTTGTATTATTATATTAATTGCCTTACTGTGCTTTTGAATGAAAGAGTAGCTGAAAGTAGTTTTTAGGTCAATTTTAAAAGTCTCTAAACAAGCCATGTTTCTATTGAATTTACATTTGTGAATAAAACAGCTTTGCTATAAGTGCTGTTAAATTAATTAAAAGCTAATTATTTTCTTCTTTTCTTGAATAATTGTGAAAACCAACGACAACATTGTTTTATTATTCCTCCAAATAATAAAAAGTAACGTCATAATACTCAGTCACTTAGGAAGGAGAGAGTTAGCAGAAATTATTTGGTTAAAATTTTTACTTTAGAGTGGTCCCATTAAGTGGGTTAGTAAATCTGCAACAGCGCCCCCTACAGTCACAATGTACAAAGGTCACAGAATATGACCTTTGCACCAAGCAAATGTTTAAGAGGAGTTAAGGTCTTACAGATTCTCTGTCCGGCTGGCCGAACTGCATATTTCAAAATGTTGGCACCTCTGTTTTATTACTGGTAAACTACAGCAGGGTTCAATTTTTTTTAATGGGAGCACACACATTCGCTGAAGGACTATTTTTATTTTGGTATTTGTTGTCGTACTCAAATCTGTAGAACAGGTCGTCGAACGACTGTTAGACTGAATAATCTGGGGAAAAGCCAGGCCCCAGATTATTTATTATCATTTATTAGACAGGGACTTGAATACACACAGGCGAATTCCATTCATCATCAGTCATTTAGGACAACATTGGACCATTCAGAGATCCTCACTGAACTTCTGGACTCAGTTTGCACTGAAAGTTAAGGGACAGAATAATATTGGACAGCCCACTTTGCAGTTTTTCATTAATTAAAAAAGTTTAAAATATTCAATAAATAAATTCCACTTCAAGATTGTTTTCCACTTGATTTTTCACAAAGTAATACAAATTTTAGATCTTTATTTCTGAAGCCTGACAAGCGATAAAAGGTTGAAAAGTTCAAGGGGGCCAAATACTTTCGCAAAGCAGCGTGTCTGCAGTTTTGGAGGAATAAGATATGGAGTGATGTAGAAGAGGGAGCTGGTTCTATTGAAGGACAGCAACCATATAGTTCTACATCGAGGAAAAAGGCTTTTTGGGAAATTTGTCTCAGCTACTAGAAAAAAAACTTATCATCACTTGCTTGTTCACCCAGAAGTCCATGATATAATGTTGACTCAAATCTCGTTCCGTTTCTGGTCAGAAGATGTACATTTGTTGAGTTTGTTATTTTAGAAAAACCTTAAAAAGTCCTGTTTAAATACATCAATACATAAAAGTGAATGGTTCTGTATTTGACTCACATTTAAAAGCTTTTATGTTTTGTTTTGGGATTTTTTTTTGTCTTTTTGTCCAGATCTCCCACAACAGTGGACATGTAAAGAGGAGGGGGTTCTCAATGGGCCCAGCAACCAGGAGGAAAACTCCACTTTAAATCAAGAGGAACCAGAACCTGTGCAGATGAAATGGGAACAAAAGGAACCAGAACCTGTGCAGATGAAATGGGAACAAAAGGAACCAGAACCTCTGCAGATGAAACAAGAACACAGAGAACCAGAACCTCTGCAGATGAAACTGGAACAAGAGGAACCAGAACCTTTGCAGATGAAATGGGAACAAGAGGAACCAGAACCTTTGCAGATAAAACAGGAGCAAGAGGAACCAGAACCTCTGCAGCTCAAAGATGAAGAGAAGCTTGTGCTGAAGCAGGAAAATGAGAAAATGCACAAGAAAGCTCAGCCAAACCAAGAACTATATTCTTGTGAAATTTGTGACAAAACCTTTTCTGAAAACAGTTCCTTCATGACACACATGACAACTCACACGGCTAAGAAACCTTTCATATGTTTGACTTGTGGAAAAAGATACCGTTACAAGAGTCGTTTAATTGATCACATGAGAATTCATACAGGTGAAAAACCGTTCACATGTGCTGCTTGTGGAAAAAGTTTCCATCTAAATGGTACTTTAAGCAGACACATGAGAATTCACTCTGGTGAGAAACCTTACACATGCACAGCCTGTGGAAAACATTTTGCATGTAAATCTCAATTACTTGATCACATGACTATTCATACAGGTGAGAAGCCTTTCTCATGTGGAACCTGTGGAAAAAGTTTCCGGAGGAAACCTGATTTGGTTAGTCACGTAAGAGTTCACACAGGTGAGAAGCCATTCTCATGTGAGACCTGTGGAAAATGTTTCTCTCATAAAAACAGTTTAAGTGTTCACATGAGAGTCACACGGGTGAGAAGACTTTGTCTTGTGGCACCTGTGGAAGAAATTGCTTGAATAAATCTGACTTAGTTAATCACATGAGAACTCACACAGGCGAGAAGCCTTTCTCATGCGGGACCTGTGGAAAAAGTTTTGCTGGAAGACATCGTTTAACTTCTCACATGAAGTCTCATACAGGCAAAACTTCTTTCTCATGTGGGACATGTGGAAGAAGTTTCACTCGTAAATTGATTTTAACTGCTCACATGAGAACTCATATGGGTGAGAAGCCTTTCTCCTGTGGGACATGTGGAAGATGTTTCTCTCGTAACATACATTTAACTGCTCACATGAGAACTCACACAGGTGAGAAGCCTTTTCCATGTGGGATTTGTGGAAAATCCTTTACATGTAGATCTGGTTTACGTCAGCACATGACGACTCACACAAGTGAGAAGCTTTCTCATGTGGGATCTGTGAAAAACGTTTTGCTCAAAATATTATTTAGATTCTCACATGAGAACGCACACATGTGCAAAGTCATTCTCATGTGGGACCTGTAGAAGAAGTTTCTCTCATAAAAAAAATCTAACTGCTCACATGAAAATTCACACAGGTAAGAAGTAGGAGTGCACTGATTTATCAATGTCACTTAATTTTTGGAGATCTGTGATCAGCCAATAATTACCTGTGAATTTGATCTTATTCCCCGATTTTTTCTACCTCAGCAAAGGTCTAAAGATCAGCCACTGTCCTCTTCTGCTCTCCAGTGAGAGGTTTGACTATCAGTCAAAAGTCGTGTCTACACATTTCTTCACAAAAGTCACTGCACTGTTGCCATCTCAGCAACTTTCTTGCTGTATTTAGTGACATTTCATACAAAAAAATTGGCGTTGCCCAAAATTCAAAATGGCTTATCAGGTCATCGACGATCGGCCAGAAAACTGCAGATGGTGCACTGCTCAAAAGAAATGTAACCGTTCACATGAGAACTCACACAGCTTTGATGGCATAATGTGAACATCAAGTCCCAACATTCTTAGTAATTTGCTTTTTGGAAACAGAGTCATTGAAACTGGATTGCATTTTTAATTGCAGCAGCTTTGTTTAAAATGCATTTCAAATTGGAGATTTAGCTAAAACGCTTCAACATTCACTTTATTCTAGCAGTTTTCTGTTGGCATTAATTTTTTAAGAGAATAAGAAATATTTGTAGCTTCTTAAAGGAGCAATGGGTTTAAAGGTTTCATTTAGACTTGTAAAGTTTTGGAGTCTTTATTGTGTTTATCCTTTGTACTTATTTGGTTGGATGAAATAGATATGTTAGCTGTTACTGCGTGTTCTTGTAGGGTCACACATTAATGAGATTACTAGTGTTTTCTAAACTTTAATCTAAATATCATCCACCATGTTTTTTTCTCAGAGGTTCTGATTGAGGAAGGAAATCGTGCTAAATAATTATGAAACCTGAGATTTTCTCCCCTTTTGTTTAAAAATCTGCATATTTTTGTTAGTTATTGTAAATTGTTGTTTTTACCAAGTCTTGTTTCGTCAATTTTTTTTGACATTGTTTTTATGCTTTGGATAATAGAAAAGTAATTTCAGATATAATAAAGTTTATTTACCACAATAATTGTCTTTTTCTTTTGTCTGTTTAGTAGAAGACTGTGTGACAGAATAAATTTACATAATTACAAACCCAATCTCTGAATTCTCCTTCAGACGTTCATGGAAACTGTAAATGATTTGGCAGAAATCAGAGACCCGAATTAAACCTGTTTGAAACAAATAGTAAATCAGGAAAACCTTCCTGATTTATACATATATGTATAAACAGAAGCAATCCACAGAGCCCATCTCTTCGTCCATAACATTGCATGAATTTTAATAAAGTAGATATTTGTTTTTCAATAAAGCATCTGGAGTAAGGGCGTTGCATCTGCGTCGACGTTAATGACCGAGTGCCATCATGGCGCATCAGAGAGACACCATTTTGGATGTGAATGGACTTTTAATGGAATAAAATCAGAAACAGAAAGTATTTAATGGTCACCATAAACACTGATGCAATAAATAATACACTTATTTGATATAAGTGGTGAATGGCCACCAGTGTCTGCAGGCGTCTCGGCAGCCGTCATCTCCTCATGCCGTCTGATTGGCTTTGGACTGATGATGGGTTTAATAAAAAGTCAAAGCACGGTTACAAAAAACACTTTTCAGGATTAATTATGATCTAGTAAAACTTATGTCTGCATTGTTGCCATCATATAATTAGCAATATTTATTTTGTCCTGATTCAAATCAGATTTTATTTGTATGGCACATTTCAGCAGCAATGCATTTCAAAGTGCTTCGCACCACAACACCAAAATACAAAGTCATGCGTCACAAAATCAACAATCAAAACATGACATTAAGTCAAGTTCCATCATGAAATTTGCAATTGATTATGTTCTAAATACAACTCTGAACAGGTGGGTTTTTAGTCGAGATTTGAAGGAAGTCAGTGTTCAGCTGTTTCATCGTTTTCTAGAAGTTTGTTCCAGATTTGTGGCGTATGGAAGCTGATTTGGTTCTGGGGATGCAGAGCAGAACCAGAAGATCTGGAAGGTGTCTATAACAACAGCAGATCTTTAATGTATTATGCTGCTAAGTTTTTTGTGTTTGTTATGATGTAAAGCACTTTGAAATGTCCTGCTACTGAAATGTGATATACAAATAAAATTTGATTGATAAGTTGTTCAGTGATTTTTAAACTCACAGTATTTTAAAGTCTATTCTAATCACAAAGACAACATAATAAAAAACTGACATTCAGATTCAAGTTTAGACAAGTATTTTTCCACTGGGCAATCCGTTTATAACCTACCAGCATACATGGCATTCAGTAACAGATAACATGTATCCACTAACCAAAAATCATTGAAGTGCAACAAATGTACAATGACTCTAAAAGCATTCAAATCCCTTTATTAATTAAGAAACAAGTAATATGGAAACAATCTCACTTAAAAATAAACATTTAAATGGAAGGGTAAATCTACCAGTGTAAGATGATTTCTTGAAAGTATCTCAGCTAAATCCATTGGATTTTTTAACAAAGCTGCTACATTTACAAAACGTCACCCAGCTATAATCACTGCGCTTTCACATAGCAAGTTACTGAGAATGTTGATACTTATAATTATGCCTTCATGTGCTTTGTGCTCTATCATATGAACAGTGGTGAAACTCTTTCCACATTTCCCACCAGAGAAAGGCTTCACACATGCATGAGTTCTCATATGAAAAAGAAAATTAGGTTTAGACTTCAAAGGTCTTCCACAAATCACACCAGGAAAAGTCTTAGCTGTGTGAGTTTGAGAGTGTTGAGAAAGATATGATTTTTGATAGAAACGTTTTCCACAGATCTCGCATAAAAAAGGCTTCTCCACCGTGTGAATCCTCATGTGAATATTTACATCATCTGTGGAACCAAAATGTTTTCCACAGAAAAACACATGACAAAGGTTTCTCACCTGTGTGAGACCTCATGTGAACAGTTAAACCATCTTCCTGGTGAACCTTTGTTCACAGATCACACATGAGAAAGGCTTCTCACCTGTGTGAATTCATGTGAATATTTAAACAACTTTTGTAACTAAAATGTTTTCCACAGATCACATGAGTGTGGCTCTCATCCACGTGAGTCTGCTTGTGGTATATATATGTGAATTTTCATGTGTCTAATCACAGAAGTGTTTCTGGAAAAGGTTTGATTGCAAATTCTACAGGAATATATATTTTTTTGTCTGCGTGAACTTTCTTGTTTCGAACTGTCAGTTTTACTTTTCTGCTGTTTGGTTTTCTTATATCTCCGATTTGTTTCTGTTCTTCATCTCTCTTTTTCCTGGATCTTCAGAATTGCTTCCTTCCTGACCCTGGTTCTCACCTTCAGCAGAGCCAGGAGAGATGAGTTGGTTCCTCTGTGGTTCTGTTTCATTGTGGATTCTTTGCACATTTAGAGGATTCATCAAAATGTCATCAGTCTCCAGTTTCAGCACAAGATGCTCTTCATCCTGACTGATGTAGGATGACTCTCTTCTCTTCCTCTTTCAACTCTTGATGTTCTGGTTCCTCTTGATCTCGTTTCAACTCTTGATGTTCTGGTTCCTCTTGATCCTGTTTCATCTGCAGATGTTTCTCTTGTTCTAAAGTGGAGTTTTCCTCCTGGTTGCTGGGCTCATTGAGAACCTCCTCCTTCCACAGATCTGGACAAAAGAAAAAAACAAAAGCTTTGAAATGTCAACCACAGATCAAAACATGCATTTGAATCCATTGATGTATGAAAACATGATTTTCTTGGTATATTCTGAAATTAAAAACATTTAAGTTTGAAAAATTAACTCATCTAGATTAAGTTGAGTTAGTTTTTCTGATGACAGCTTAACCTAATGTCTCCCAAATGAATATTCCAAAAATGTCTTTCCTCTGTGTAGATACAGAATATGCATCACATAAAATACTCAGAGAAAATTCCTAAAGTGCGTTTTAATCTCAGCTATTGAAATGTGCAGACTAACAAATGTTAAGTAATGGCATGGCAATAGGAAGGGTTGATGCTGGATTGGAAAACAGTAACAGTACTCAGCTAATCTCAGGACAAAGTTTTGCAGATCAGTAAGTTGGTGTTGGAATCTGATTCTTTTTCTCTTTTTAGTTCATGGAGGTCCATCCTCTTCAGTTCATTCCCAGTCAGATGTAAATCAACAACTTGCTCATCACCTGACTGGTTCCTTCAGTTCTTTTGTTTGGAGTGGAATGGTGGGAATGTTCATCTCATTTCTGTTTAATTAGGTTCAAAACTCATTTTTAAAGATGCTCAGAAGCTGAAACTGTAAGCTTCACCCTCGGTTCAAATGTTTTTTTTTTCTGTTCTTGGCAATGATTGAGTCTTTGACTCAATCATTTATTTTCTCTGCCCAGAAGCCGAGAACCATTGGTCTCGTTGCCTCTGGCATTTGAGTGTATAGTTTTAAAGCAACTTAACCATTGTTAAAATTACATGAGTTTTAACAAACTCAATATTCACTTTTCAATCAACACTTACCAGAGTTAGTTCTACATTTATACAAATGAGAGCCATAATTTGACATAGAATATGCTATTCATTATTATCGACTATTATTGAGGTCAGAGTTCTTCATTCTAAGGATTTGTTAAATTTTTATTTATTTATTTCCGGTGGAAACTGATTTGATATGTTTGAGTCTTTTAGTTTAAGTTCAGGGTCGGTGTTATAGATTAACTGGTGCCGGCAGCTGGCAAAGTCAGATGTTTTGCCAGCTGCGTGACTTTTAAGGACCCCTTTACAGAACCAGGAACACCATAGCAACACCATCAAGTATGCGATTTAAATTTTATTAAAAATGATGACACCAACCTCACTGTTTAGCGACACGTCCTGTGGGTAGTGCTGCTAAGAAAAAGAAGAAATTCAGAAACAGTGCAGTTGCATTGCAGGATCTGAGCCAAAACCAAAAACTGGGGTAGAAATATTAAGAAACTCACATTACAGGTACTTCAGAGTCAATTAGGAGCCGAGTTGTTCAACTTGGACATAACTGTCTACAACTCCTAAAAGCTTGCTAAATGAAATGTTAGGATTGAAAATAACATCAATGTAGTGAAGCTTCGCATGAACTTGTCAGATCTGCTGCTGTTGTAGCTGATATTTGGTGAAATGATGTACTAATCGACTCAGAAATGCTCTGCAGACAGAGATACAAAGCGCCTATAGCCTTTGTTTGTGAGACGTGGGATTTTCTAGGTCAGTTGTGGGCGGAGCTTGGTAAGGTCCATTGTGGTGTTACTCATTAATCTGGTTCTGCTCTTTTCGAAGCGCACTGAACGCTGCTCTGTTGAAACTTGCTTTGAAACTAATTTTCCAAATGCAACATTAAACATTTTTGCTTCAAATGGGATTTATAATAATGTTTTGCAAACGGTTTTGTCACACAAGAGGCATTTTTCAACAGGCATCCACAGCCACCTACAATTCAGAAACATCTGCGGCGCGCAAATGTTTCAACCAGTTAATCTGAAACATCGGCCCAGAAAGTTTCCTACATTGTCTCGAGCTGTCTTTAACCTGTTTTTAACTCTGCTGAGTAAAATTTAAAGCTGTTTCGTACCTATCCGGTGCAAGATGATCTTGGGTATCCGGGTAAAATCCATCAGTCTGCGCTGATCGTCCATCTTCCTCCATCTTAACGTTGATTTCTTTCCACTCTGTGAATGTTTCTTCAGCAGGAGTTTCCTGCTGCTTGATAAACTCTCTCTGATGCTGAACTGAAGACATTTTCACTGAAAACACCAAACCTGTTTCAGTTTAACTAAAGAACAGCAAATGCTCCCTCGTGCGCTCTGAGATGATTTCTGTGTTTCACTTTGTCTGCACGGAAGAAACTGTAAACGATTTTCTGCTGTTTGGTTTTCTTATATCTCCGATTTTGTTTCTGTTCTTCATCTCTCTTTTTTCCTGGATCTTCAGAATTGCTTCCTTCCTGATCCTGGTTCTCATCCTCAGCAGAGCCATGAGAGATGAGTTGGTTCCTCTGTGGTTCTGTTTCATTGTAGATTCTTTGCACATTTAGAGGATTCATCAAAATGTCATCAGTCTCCAGTTTCAGCACCAGATGCTCTTCATCCTGACTGATGCAGAGTTGCTTCTCTTCCTCTTTCAACTCTTGATGTTCTGGTTCCTCTTGATCCTGTTTTATCTGCAGAGGTTCTGGTTCCTGTTGCTCCTGTTTCATCTGCAGAGATTCTGGTTCCTCTTTATCTGAAGTGGACTTCCTCTCCTGGATGCTGAATTCATTTAGATCCTCCTCCTCTTTACACACCCAGCACTGTGGCAGATCTGCACAAAAACACAAAATAAAAGCTTTTAAATGTGAGTAAAAGAATGAGTCCTTCATTTTAATCACTTAAATCTTTCTCAAGTGTTCCAAACACTAAAATTACAAATTCATAAGTATAAAAATTAACTTTTTACACTTTAGTTTTTCTGACTGGAAGGGATCAAGAAATCAGTCCAAACATACTATGGATCTCCAGGTGAGAAAGCAAGATGGCGATAATTAAACCTAGAGGCTCCACGACAAAAATAGTTCAAACAGCAACTGGATTTAGTCCTGCTATAGAACCTTAGAGACTTAAATGTAGTTCTACACTTAAAACATTTTATGCATAGAGCAGCTTGGATTCTAATGCACATTACAAAAGAAAATGAGCATTTTAAACCCTGTTGATAGTTTTGGTTTCATTTCATCATTCCGATCCTCATTTGCATCAACATCTGTTCTTTACTACTGTAGCAACAAAAATTAAAGTTGTAAGCAACCTCAAACGGTTCATTCGCCTCAACAACTCTCTGGGGTACGTTGCAATTGCAAACCCGTCGGTGCTTTGCATTCCGATCAACTCTGCATATCACCACCAAACAGTGCATTGAGAAAGACTCTGTATTATGTTCAGCCAGTCAGACTCAGTTGAGCTCAGTTGATAAGTATTCAAAGTTTTGGCAGAAACCAAACCTTCTTGACAGAAGTTAAAGCCAATTCCTGTTTGGTGGCATAGGACTGATCAGCCATAATCAAAGTCAGGTTGCCAAATATATTAGAGAGAGAGACAGACAGACAGACAGAGAGAGAGAGAGAAAGACAGAGAGAGACAGAGAGAGAGAGAGAGAGAGAAAGAGAGAGGGAGAGAGAGAGAGACAGAGAGAGAGAGAGACAGAGAGAGAGAGACGGAGAGAGAGAGAGAAAGAGAGAGGGAGAGAGAGAGAGAGAGAGAGAGAGAGAGAGACAGAGAGAGAGGGAGAGAGAGAGAGAGAGAGAAGAGAGAGGGAGAGAGAGAGAGAGACAGAGAGAGAGAGAGACAGAGAGAGGGACAGAGAGAGAGAGAGCGAAAAAAAGCAAGTGTCAAATTTTCAGTTTTCTCCAAGAGATGTGGGTCGTCTGCAGTCGTCTGCAGGGTTTTCCAGAAAACTCGGTCGGGGCGCCGAGGCGGTCCACCGTGTTTTTGTATTTAATGATGTTAAGAAGAGAAGAAAGGTAAAAATATTACTGGCTAATTATATGTCACTGGAAAACATTGCCAGTGAAATGACATTTAAGCCCACAACTAGTCTAAAAAAAAAAAACTACTCAAAAAATACAATTAAAATTAATATAAATTATTTTCACTTCTGTTTAATACAAATTAAGTCAGCGGCTCCAAAAGGTTCCCAGGACTTCAGGGCCCCATAAAAGCTAATATTGTAACACAAAACACACAATCATAAATGTAACATTTGTTTATCCAGATCATCAATGTTGCTGAATTTGATTTAATGTTATCAGCATACATAAATTAAATAATTTCAAATTGTTAAACGTTTATATGTAAGATTTTAGGGAGCTGGCAAGTTTACTTTGTAAAAGTTCAAAGAACAATATTCATAGTTAGATTGTTTTATTATCACAACAATCAGATACTGTGAGTTTATTTTTTCAGTTTGAGCTCCATTTGTTCAAAAATACAAATTAATAAACTGCAAATATAACTGCTTGTTTTTAGGTAGGCCAATTAAACTACTCTCCCTCTCCCAGATTAAATCTAACAGAAGCTGTTAGAGATGCTGATGGTTTTAGGAGTAAAAGGGGCCCTGAGTCAGATTTCGCTCCAGGCCTCATACAGCCGTGGACCGGCCCTGTATGATGAGTTAAATCCGCTGCACTGGGCAGAAATTAAATCACAGTAGCAGATTTAGTGAAATGCTGCTAATGTGGCTCCAGAGTTTTTAATAAACGTCACAAAAAACTTGTTCTGGCTGCTCAAGTTTGTGGGACGAGTTTTTCTGATCTTCCTGCATCCGTGCACATTAGCTCTGGCTGACTAAGTGCACAAAGGATTTGATATGTTTGATGCATTAAGTAGCTGGAAAAATTATACTAAAAATAATACAATAATTAGGACACTTGTGAATGAATATTATAGTAATCGAGTGATTATTCTTTCGATTAATTGTAATCAGATAAAAAATATTTCTAAAACAAAATAGGTGGAAGTCAGAGTGCTGCGTAAGGCAAATAATGTCCCAGCCGGAAGACGGTTCGCAAAATAATAACACATAAATTAACGAAGATTCGAGGCAGGTAAATTTTCCTCAAGAAGTTTTAATAATTGAGGTATTGGAACCATTCAATGAATCGTTTCAGCCCTGAGATAAGAGTTCTCCAAAGATTGATCATTCCTCTCAGGGGGTTGATGTAAATATCCATACAGGTCAGCTTGTGTCCAGTTTGAGTAAATGGAGGCGCGTGCGATCCGCGCTCAGATAAACTTCAGAGATGAAACAGCAGCAGCAGCGCGCAGAGACGCCAGCTGTGTGATTGGTCAGCTCTGCTGGTATTCTGTCAGGTCAGCATACGCTTAGCACAAACTGACGGCTACATCTATCAGACAAGTATATTCTGCCATTACCGTACGATTTCATTTAATCAGCAACAAAGATGTAGTTGATTGCAGCTGCAGCTACATCCTGCTTTAAATACACTTTGAAACCACGACAATGCATGTATATCTGGTTATCAATGAAAACAATTTAATGACTTAGTGTTGTCACAACTCAATTGTGTATTCTGAACTGACAACTCTGACGGTTGGACTTCTTGATGCGCAGGCATGCATACTCACAGCATTTATGCTATTCTGACAGCGTATGATAATCTGACAGAACACCAGATTTAAATGAATAAAATATAAACTTAGAAATCTTTTAAAAATAAAATGTGATCTACAAGAGAAACTCTCAAAACAACAGAGTCGCTTGGAGTCCAGCTTTAAGATTTAAAAATAAATAAATCATTAATCAATCCTTCCTCTCTCCCTCAATTATTAACTTTTCTTAAAAGAAAATCAAGCAACGGTTTGCCTGGCAGCGAGCCTAATAAACCACGGCGGGCCGCCAGGCTTATGTTACACTGGAGGAAATCAATGTATTGTAGAATGTAAAAAAAAAATCTGAACAGAAAATGTTCAGCAAAGACATCTGAGCCTCTGTTATGACTGCAGAAGCTTCCATTCTGTTATAATCGCCCTTTTGCCATTTCTTGAGTCAGAAGCTTCAACCAGAAACAAATTCGAGCTTCATTAAAGACGGTCAGTTAGGATCATCACCACAGCTGGACGATCGGACTGACGTTACCGTCTGTGCAGTCCCGTCCTGTTTAGGATCCAGCTCAGAGTGCGCAGACTATTGCTGATTTCAACCACAATGCACAGCAGCATCAGTATCTCTGTACTAACCTTCATTATGCCTGCACTACAAGCATATTATAGACACCTTATCATGTTTATAAAATATAGTTATGTTCATGTAATATGACTATTACATTTTTACAATAGATTATTATGTTTCTACAATATTACTATCAGCATGACAGCAATACCCTTTTGTAGTAAGTACATTTGTTGAGCCAAAGAGTTAAGAATATATAAACACGTCTCTTTAAATGTACAGTACAGACCAAAGGTTTGGCACACCTTTTCATTCAATGAGTTTCCTTTATTTTCATGATTGTTGACATTGTAGATTCACACTGAAGGCATCAAACTACGAATTAATACATGTGGAAATATGTACTAAACAAAAAAGTGTAAAACAACTGAAAATACGCCTTATATTGTAGTTTCTTCAAAGTAGCAACCTTTTGCTGTGATTACTGCTCTGCACACAAACTGCATTCTCTTGAAGAGCTTCAAGATCATCACCTGAAATGGTTTCCACTTCACAGGTGTGCCCTGTCAGGTTAATAAGTGAGCTTTCTTACCTTATAAATAAATATGAAAATAAAGGAAACCCATTGAATGAGAAGGTTGTGTCCAAACTTTTGCTCTCTACTGTAAAAATATTAGAAATTTTAAATTGACATTTGTGACTGTATCCAAAAAAGACCAGTGACATCTAACCATTTACTAACAACCTTGACCCTAGTGGGTCAGGAGGTGCTGGGGTCACCCTGGACAGGTCGCCAGTCTGTCGCAGGGCGACTCAGAGACAGTGCAATAATATTAGCCTGCATGATCTTTTCCTCTCAGGTTAGGGCTCTGCTTTGCTGCACAAGCATCAGCCTTTTCCCTCCAATAAGCTTCTAGCTATTTTTATTATTTATTAGCCAGTTTAGGACCCTGAATGCAGGAAGTCAATGTAAGACAACATTGTAATGATGCCCCACATGCTACTAGCAGCATTTAGGCTAACATTAGCATTTTGGCTCATTTTAGATTATACACTAATTTTAACAAACTGAATGGAGGAAATCCATGTTAGTCAACATGCATATATGTGACTTTCCACAGGCTATTGACTATAATTCAGTTTAGCTTAGCATTGATGCTAATTGTTAGCATCAGAGCGCTGGGTCCAAACTGGGGCCACACTTTAGCAGGCCCCGGTTACATTTCTCCAAGGATTTTCTATTTCTATTTAATTTGAGCGGATTCTTTAAATATGTCTACGAACACAACGATTATTTATCTGTAAAAACTCTCTTTAACCTCACTAATCAGTAAACCGTGAAGCTGTTTCGTACCTATCCGGTGCAAGATGATCTTGGGTATCCGGGTAAAATCCATCAGTCTGCGCTGATCGTCCATCTCTTCCTCCATCTTAACGTTGATTTCTTTCCACTCTGTGAATGTTTCTTCAGCAGGAGTTTCCTGCTGCTTGATAAACTCTCTGAGGCGGAACTGAAGACATTTTCACTGAAAACACGGAAATATTTACCGAAAACACCAAACCTGTTTTCAAACCTTCTAACAAAAGAACAGCTAATGCTCCCTCGTGCGCTCTGAGATGGTTCCTGTGTTTCACTTTGACTGCACTGAAGAAACTGTAAACAATTTTTTGTTCCGCCTTCAATTTTCCGCTTTGAGTTTCCTCTGAACTTACAACTAAATTAAATATTTTTTAGCAATGAAAGGTTTATTTATTTCTGCGACAGTGCATTAAATGATTATAAACAAACTAAAAGCTAAAGCTACCTCATTTTCCCTGTACCCTTTCCTGTGTTTCACTTTGGTTGTCCTGAAGAAACTGTAAACGAGTTTTAGTTCCCTTTAAATTTTCCTTTTTTTTGGTAATGCTGCATTACCAACTCAATGTGACATACTGGTCCACTGGTTTGGAGTGTTAAATTATATTAAATAACTGCATTCATTTAAGACAACAAAATATTATCTGGTAAATGTTATTATTGCATTTGTCTAAACCTTTCTGAATATGTCCTCTCATCAACCAAACCACAGGAAATTTAAATATATCACCAATTATTTTCTTTTTGAAGAATATTGTCTTTTCTTTGAGTCTCCTCTTAACATACAACTACATTAAATATTTTACAATATCAATAAAAGGTTCATTTTTATCAGTCGCTGAAATAGTGAATAGAGGAATTACACACAGATGGATGTTTTTAGGCCTCTTATTTCTGCAGATAATTGAAGATTAGCATTTATGGTTAGACTATATATCATACTGACTGGTGAATAAAATACTTAAGAAATGTGGGTTGGAGTCAGTTATCAAAAGGTACTTTTAATCTTACGAAAGAATCATTCTGGAGTATTTTAAAATCTTGAGTGCGATCTCTTTAGCTTGTAAAAAAAAGTCTAATATTATTGTATCAGGTTTTACTTTTGTAAGTAGTCATTCATTTTTGAAGTTGAATAGTGAATTACTAAATATATATTTAGAGAAATAAAGATTTGTTGTTTTGACATTTTTTAAAATATTCTTGAATTGCAAAAGATTTCTGGTTTGCTTTTGTGTCACATTACAGTGTTGCAGATCGTCTGCAGTGTTTTCTCTGGTTACAGTAACTGAAAGGTGTAAAAAAGGTCCATGTAGTTTCTGACAATGCAGAATTAATAACTAATGAAAACATTACATTTGAGATTAGAATAAGTTATGAAAAATTTATTTTTTAAAAATTTAATGAACGTGACCTTTTTTAAAATGTCTTGAATTTTAATATAGAATTTTGTGTGAAACTCAAGTTTCACTGTTATTGCAAGGATCTTTAGATGCTTTACTTAAAGCTGACATTTAAAAATATTGCAAAAGTTAATCATGATGACAATCATTGAATAATCCATCAATATTTATTAAAATCAATGTTTATTAAAAAGCACATTCTCCTCAAACGACTGGTACATTTTTAACATTACTTCTTTATAATAAACTTTGCTTCTCATACCAAAGTAAAACAATGACAAAACAATTTGAAAATTATAAATCTGTTTGTGGTTAACTCTACATCAAAACCTGACCAGATCAAAAGTATTTTTGAGATTTTATTCAAACAAATTGTTTTATTAATAAAAAAACAAGATTTCACTGCTTTCATTTCTAAAGTATTTTAAATTCAGTCAGACACAAAAATGTAAAAGCTAAACTAAATTATTCTACATGCTACAGAATGAAACGAAAACCCGCAGAAATGAATCCTGTCTGAATGTGATCCCCTCTTTAACTTCACTATCTAATGGGGATCTTAAGCACAAATACGACTGAGAACTAAAACAAAAAACTGGACTAAAAAAAACAAGCTGATAGCAGAAATCAGACCTCAGGTTTATCATGGCTGGGACAATGAAACAAACAGTCAGTGAATCACTAGCAGCCTGCAAGAATTTGTTTTCTACTTCCTGTTTACATTATCCAACCAGATTTTCCATTGGATCGGACACAAAAAACGGATCAGTTCTGTTTTGTTCCAAAAGTTTCTAGTATGAGAAAGTCTTTATGTGACGAGTTAAATTACTTCTGTCATTGTAACTCCACGGATTCCACAAGAGAAATGTTGTGAATTTTCATGTGACCATTTAAATGACCTTTTTTAGAGAAACTCTTTCCACAGATCCCACAAGAGAAAGGCTTCTCACCTGTGTGAATTCTCAAATGATCATTTAAAGTTGTTTTATGGGTGAAACTTTTACCACAAGTCCCACAAGAGAAAGGCTTCTCTCCTGTGTGAATTCTCTTATGAACATTTAAAGTGTCTTTTCGGCTGAAACTTTTTCCACAAATGCCACAAGAGAAAGGCTTCTCACCTGTGTGAATTCTCATGTGAACATTTAAATTACCTTTTTGAGAGAAACTCTTTCCACAGCTCCCACAAAAGAAAGGCTTCTCTCCTGTGTGAATTCCAATGTGCTTAGTTAAAGTCCTTCTGTCACTGTAACTCTTTCCACAGCTCCCACAAGAAAAAGGCTTCTCACTTGTGTGAATTCTCAAATGCTTATTTAAAGTTCTTTTAAGGGTGAAACTTTTACCACAAGTCCCACAAGAGAAAGGCTTCTCTCCTGTGTGAATTCCAATGTGCTCAGTTAAAGTCCTTCTGTCACTGTAACTCTTTCCACAGCTCCCACAAGAGAAAGGCTTCTCACCTGTGTGAATTCTCATGTGAACATTTAATTTAACTTTTTGAGAGAAACTCTTTCCACAGCTCCCACAAGAGAAAGGCTTCTCACCTGTGTGAATTCTCATGTGAACATTTAAATTACCTTTTTGAGAGAAACTCTTTCCACAGCTCCCACAAAAGAAAGGCTTCTCTCCTGTGTGAATTCCAATGTGCTTAGTTAAAGTCCTTCTGTCACTGTAACTCTTTCCACAGCTCCCACAAGAAAAAGGCTTCTCACTTGTGTGAATTCTCAAATGCTTATTTAAAGTTCTTTTAAGGGTGAAACTTTTACCACAAGTCCCACAAGAGAAAGGCTTCTCTCCTGTGTGAATTCCAATGTGCTCAGTTAAAGTCCTTCTGTCACTGTAACTCTTTCCACAGCTCCCACAAGAGAAAGGCTTCTCACTTGTGTGAATTCTCAAATGCTTATTAAAGTTCTTTTAAGGGTGAAACTTTTACCACAAGTCCCACAAGAGAAAGGCTTCTCTCCTGTGTGAATTCCAATGTGCTCAGTTAAAGTCCTTCTGTCACTGTAACTCTTTCCACAGCTCCCACAAGAGAAAGGCTTCTCACCTGTGTGAATTCTCATGTGAACATTTAAAGTACCTTTTTGAGAGAAACTCTTTCCACAGTTCCCACAAGAAAAAGGCTTCTCACTTGTGTGAATTCTCAAATGACAATTTAAAGTTGTTTTAAGGGTGAAACTTTTACCACAAGTCCCACAAGAGAAAGGCTTCTCTCCCGTGTGGATTCTCTTATGAACATTTAAAGTGTCTTTTCGGCTGAAACTTTTTCCACAAATGCCACAAGAGAAAGGCTTCTCACCTGTGTGAATTCTCATGTGCTTAGTTAAAGTCCTTCTGTCACTGTAACTTTTCCCACAGGCTGAACAAGTGAAACGTTTTACCCCTGTGTGAGTTCTCATGTGTCTCAAAAAGTTACAGTTATAAGATAAGTTTTTATCACAAATTTTACAAGAGTATAATTTTTGCCCTCGATGAGCATTTTCATTGTCAGTTCTTTCTTTCTGCTGTTTGGTTTTCTCATATCTCTCCTTTTGTTTCTGTTCTTCCTTTTTCTTTTTTTCTGGGTCTTCAGAATTGATTCCTTCCTGATCCTGGTTCTCAGTTTCTGCAGAGCCATGAGAGATGAGTTGGTTCCTCTGTGGTTTTGTTTCATTGAGAATCTCCTCCTCTTCACTGCATTGTGAGAGATCTGGACAAAAAGAAAAAAAAAAGCTTTTAAATGTCAATCAACAAGAAATTCTTCACTTTAACCTCAAAGTATCAAAACAGGATTTTCTTGGGTTATTCTAAAATTATAATCTGACAAGAATGAATATTATCTCAACCAATGAGGTTCTTCTGACCAGAATGGAACTAGATGTGAGTGAAAATATGACATTAAGGACCTCCAGGTGAGCAAAATAGATGGCGATAACTTAATCTAGTGGTTTCCAGACCAATGTCAGAAAAAGTTTTCTTCCTCCATGTAGCTACAAGATATATATCAACATGAAAGAGTGACATAAAATACCTAAAGCAAAACACTACACCCACTGATATTGTCAGACATTGCTCCACTCACACACTCAACACAAACTTTCAAAAGAACAAATAAATTTCAGCCTTTACTTTCCTGTGACAGCAGGAAAGTGTGGGTGATTGTTGTTAATCGCGCACATGCAGAAAATAATGGCAAAATGAACCAATTGAAAATATTTGACATGAATATTGGACAATTTGGAAGATTAAATATGAAAGGTGAAAATGGACAATAATATAAATTCATTTATTTACTGCAAACCTTATGAAATATGCAATTACATTATTAAAATGTAAACTTACACAATCAAAATCATAAAAAAAGAATCATTTAATTATATGTTCTTCTTATTATTAGTAGTATTATTTTTTGCAGTTACTGCAGGATCACCATGAAATGACCTTTTGACCTTTATCCATAACTTGCAACTTTGTTCACTGAAGTTGTTAGTCGGGCTGAAACGATTCCTGGAATGGTTCCAGAATCTCGATTATTAAAATTCCTCTAGGAAAATGTAGCTGCCTCGAATCTTCGTTAGTTTATGTTTCATTATTTAGCGCACCTTGTTCCAGCCGGGATATTATTTGCATTACGTGTTGCTCTGACTTCCACCTCTGAGTTGTTGACAAAAGCTAAATGTTAGCAGCATAACGTCCAATTTTCAAGTTGGGCCCAAGGGGATTTTATTAATTGATGAAAACATTCGGGTTTTCATCGTTTTTGGGGAACCAATAAGGATCTTTAAAATGACCGGCGCGATGCCTGGACGGCAGCCTTTCTCCTCCAGGAGCTGCTGGTTCAGAGCTGATAACAGGAGCTGCAGGAGAATTTATACAGGTAGAGTATAGACTCTACCTGTATAAAGCTTGACAGGTATGGTGCAAGGTGAGAGTTCATCCATTAAACTCACTGAAGATGAATACAGAAACCAAAGGCTGGAGCACAGACATTCTTTATTAGCGTATTTGTGAGCCTGCCTCTTTGTTATTAAATTGAATATAATTTCAGATTGTTGTAGAACTTTTCTTCAGATTAACTTAGAAAGTGAGATATTATTGTTACAGGTTAGTTTTTTGTAACTGTTAGTGTTCGGGATGCTCAAATATGAAAGATTGGACTCATATTGATATCTGATAGTAACACTAGTTTAATGCCAGATTTACCAATATTTTATTTGATCTTTTAACCGATTACTCGATTAATCACAAGAATAATCAATATATTACTCAATTACTAAAATATTTGATTATAAACAGCCCTAGTTGTCAGTATGCAGTTTGTTAAGACAAGCAGTGGTTACTGCATTCTAGTGAATTAATAAAAGACACCTGATCTCAGTCTCCTTGTACCATTTCACCACAGTGACTCTTTAACATGTCTATCGCTGTTACTGATGTATAAAAAACTACAACTAATAAACAAATAATGCTCAACCTGCTGGATTTCCAGACTTATAACACTGGGAAAAACCCTGAGATTCTTAAAAAAGCAGCATAAATCTTTTCATTTTGAATTAAAAAAATCTATGTTTGCCAACTATAAGCAGTATTTTTTCTAATCTGTCTCTTAAACTGATTTATCTAATCAGTCATTTATTTATTGTCTAATTTGACATAGAAAGCAGCTAAGCAATAGCAAACAGATGGTACACAAAGCAATAAAAACTAATTATTTTTAAAATAATCTTTAACCAGTATGAGTAAAGATCAGACTGTCACGGATCACAAACTGTAACTTAGACATTATATGATGAATAGTAAACAGTCCAGGTCAAAGTTGATCATTCTAAGTGTGGCCTGTCACGATAACAGATTTTGCTGGGCGATAAATTGTCTCAAAAATTATTGCGATAAATGAGAATATTGTTTGAAGACCTTTTTACATTGATTTAATGGAAATTACGTAATAATACATGCAATTTCCTGCCAAAGATAGATACACTTTACTTTCAAAAGACACTTAACACTGGGACTGATACACAAAATAAAAAAACAACCAAAACCAAAAATAAAATAGATTCTTAGTCTCCATTAACAATAAATGTACTTAATTAAAACTCAACAACATAAAGCCAAAGTGGAAATAAACACTGCATTCAGCCAAATGAGTGCAGATTATGAAGCCTGTATAGTATATTGGCCTTCAGTAATAATTAGATTTAAATAGAGAAGAATCCGACAGCCTGATGCAATAGTTCAAACTACATAATTTTTTTTTTTATCCCGAACGACAATCTTAGAACGTTCTTCGTTCTGAGATTGTCCCTTGTGTGTTACGGTAGATCGTTGTGCCGCTCCGATCTAAATCAAGGATTTATCCAGACTGGGAGCGTGACGCAGCCTGTTGAATGTGACCGGCAGCCAATCAGAAAGCGCGGATTCTCCTCGTGCTTTCTGAGGGGAAACACGGAGGGAATCCCGAACAGCTGACACGATGCAACCCGAAGTCCAGTAAACATCGGAAACAACATGAATGTTTATTCAACAGTTCGTGCAAAGAAAATATAAATAACTAGGTTGAAGATTGGCTTGTACGGCCAAATCAACCAAGCATTACGGGACCAAATGAATCAGAATCAGCGTTGGTTCTGTCGCTGCATCAGAACCACTTTTAGGAGTTGGAGCGAAATTTCTACCAGAAAACCGGTAACTTTTCAGCTGTTCTTCGTTAACGTGACATAAATAGTTATAATGATTTTCATTCAGTCAGACTGACACTGGCTACATGCATTGCAGGTAGATTGTAGTAAGGAATTGATTAATGCCTGATTTCAAAGTTAGTGAACTGGACTTGTTATTTTGTGTCCATTGTTGGACACAACACGGTTTCAACCGAACCGTTATAGCGAGGATTTCTGTCGCTAATGTGTCTCTCAGGTTTGGACAATCCGCGACATCAGATCGTGAAGCGCAAGCTGAGCATTACACTAAGGAAATAAGGAAGGGAGGGTCAGTGGAGAGCACCGGAGTTTAGCCTTTTTTCATTCAGTGTCATCAACAGGAAGAGAAAAAGGCAGGAAGAAACGATATAAACAATAATTGAAATGAGGTCGATAGTTTTAACTTATCGTTCGATTAATTGACTTATCGTTGATCGCGACAGGCCTAAGTGTTTAGAATGACATGAGATGCGTTTAAGGCACTTTTTAAAGTAAAATTCAACCTCAATAACACCAATAAGACGATAGCAGCCACCCTCTACATGCCGTCATCAGCAGCCAGAGGAGCCTGTTCAGTGACAGACTGCTGCTTCCCAAGTGCTGGACCAATAGATTCAAGAACTCCTTTGTCCCCCACGCCTTCAGACTGTACAACTCCTCACTGGGGGGTCGGAGGTGACACAGGACAGAGGGAAGAAGGAGTAGTTTTTCTACAAATGTGAACTCCATATTTATCAGGCCAAACCATACAGTGCAATACCATATCACTGGTCAATCTATCCACCAAATTGCTATAATTTCCTTTTGTGTTGTATTTATATTCTTTGTTTTGTATTTATTTTGTATTTTTTGTATTCTTTTGTGTATGCTTACTGTGTGCCACATTTTTGCCTGTGAGCTGCTGGTAACTATAATTTCCTGAGGGAGTCTTCCCAAGGGATCAATAAAGTCAAGTCTAAGTCTAAGTCTAAGCAACTAATTTGTAGAATAAAAGATAAATTATAGATACAATTTATTATAAAATAGACTTTTACTATTTTTATTTTTAGGACTAGCAGAGAAGAACCTGCTGGCCCTGGCAGCCTCCACTGAGTATTTAATGTTTATAATGTTTGCGGATTCTTTAAAACAGGTTTCAGATGCAGCGATGTTTAACCAGTCTATCAGTAAACAGTGAAGCTGTTTCCTAAGTATTCAGTGTCCAGGTATTTCCTGAAACTGGTCGGTAAACAGAAAGGCGGCACGGAAACTGTACTTGTCCTATTATATGATTAATAAATCATAATAGAATAATATTATATGGTGAATAGTAGGTCGCTGTTGATCATTTTTAAGTATTTAATGTTTGCAGCTGCGGAGGATTTATTAGTCTTTTAGTTTGGAGTAAAAGCTCTTTGAGTTCAGCGCTTCTTAACCTCTTTAAAACATCTCCAACTTTATTCAACCTGACTAATCAGTAAACCGTGAAGCTGTTTCGTACCTATCCGCTGCAAGATGATCTTCGGTATTGTGGTGTTACTCATTAATCTGGTTCTGCTCCCATGCGGTGTCTTCGAAGCGCACTGAACGCTGCTCTGTTGAAACTTGCTTTGAAACTAATTTTCCAAATCTAACATTAAACATTTTTGCTTCAAATGGGATCTATAATAATGTTTTGCAAACGGTTTTGTCACACAAGAGGCATTTTTCAACAGGCATCCACACAGCCACCTACAATTCAGAAACATCTGCGGCGCGCAAATGTTTCAACCAGTGAATCTGAAACATCGGCCCAGAAAGTTTCCTACATTGTCTCGAGCTGTCTTTAACCTGTTTTTAATTCTCCAGAGTAAAATTTAAAGCTGTTTCATACCTATCCGGTGCAAGATGATCTTGGGTATCCGGGTAAAATCCATCAGTCTGCGCTGATCGTCCATCTCTTCCTCCATCTTAACGTTGATTTCTTTCCACTCTGTGAATGTTTCTTCAGCAGGAGTTTCCTGCTGCTTGATAAACTCTCTGAGGCTGAACTGAAGACATTTTTACTGAAAACACGGAAATATTTACCGAAAACACCAAACCTGTTTTCAAACCGTCTAACAAAAGAACAGCTAATGCTCCCTCGTGCGCTCTGAGATGGTTCCTGTGTTTCACTTTGACTGCACGGAAGAAACTGTAAACGACTTTTAATTCCGCTTTTAATGTTCCGCTTTGAGTTTTCTCTGAACATACAACTAAATTAAATATTTTACATTAATAAAAGGTTCATATATATTTCAATGAGTGAAAAACAGTATTAAAGTAATTACATACAAACGGGAGTTTTACAAGCTTTTAATCTGTTTATTTAGAAAATTTTCCTCAGCTAATTGAAACACAGCATTTATGATTAAAAGAATAAAAAATACTAAAAGTGTGGGATTGGAGCCAATTATCATAAGATACTTTGATTGTACAAAAGGACCGTATTTGAATGTATTTTTTATTTCTTGTGTGATTTTTAGCTTGTCACACAGACTCATGTTATATCAGGTTGTATTTGTATTTTGTAAATCAGTCTTGAAGTTAAACTGTAAATGACTACATATTTTAGAGGAACACAGATTTGTTGTTTTGTCTTGAGAAGATTGCGAATAACTGACTTGTCTTGTGAAAAAAGCCGTGTTGCCAAGAAAGTGAAAACATGAAAGATCACTGAAGAGATAAAATGTGAGACATGAGATCACTTTCATAAAAAACAGAAAATCAGAATTGCGTTGATAGCACAATATGTATGTGACCTTGGGCAGAGCTTTGTTATGTGTGGAGAAACATAAATCCTCTTTTTACCAGATCACACAGATAAGTTTGTGAAAAATTACCAAAGACACTGTTGCAAAATAAACACAGTTTATAAAGTTCAAAAAGCCTACAGGCATAAATAGTCAGTTTATTTATTTTACAAAAATGACCACACTAAATGTAGGAGACGATGTTGGCCCTGGAAACCTTAGAGCTGAAAGCCAGTTAAAACCCAATTAAATAAAGTTAGACTGCTTGGGGGAGGAATAATAAGAAAAACCCAAATATAACTAAATGGACCTGAGTGCTCCCAAACAAAAACACACACACAAAAAAATCCCTTGTGAGTAAAAAAGCAAAGAAAAGACAAACTCTCCTTCCACTGCTCTCCTGAATCTGGATGAAACAGCTTGGAACCCGGGGACAGCATCGATCCTTTTGCTTTACAAACAAGCCTGGAGGGCTGGACAATAAAAACTCCACTTCCCCTCGACGACAAAACCCCAAAGGAAATAAAGAATTTAATCACTAACTATTCAGAAAATAAATTCTAAACTAATGCAACCCTGAAATCAAAACTAAACTAAAACTGAAACAGTAGCAGGCCAACCTGCACACAACAGAAATACAATTAGACAAATACCTTAAATAGCCAAATAATAATAAACTGCCTTTACCTTCTCTACAGTAAAACAGCTGATGGAGTTCTGTACATCCTCTCTAAGAGCAAGTTTCCTGCAACAATAAAGTGGAGGCATCAGAAATAATTGTAAACCCAGCGCACGCTGCATGTTGAACAAACCTCTAGATGAATCAGACTGAGCTCTGATCCCCTCCGCGATCATCCTGCTTTTAAATGTAAATGCTGATTACCCGTCTCCCTAATAAACCAACGTCTCCCCTACATGGGCAAGCGGAAGAGTGCGCAGCACCATACTTCATGGACAAGATGCCCCGGCTACACAATATATGTACAACCTGAGCAGGCAATGTTATTAATCATTCATTTAAAATCAGACAAAAGGGAAAATGGAACCAGACACATAAAATAACCAAGGAAAACACTGAGACACTTGATCTGGCAGGACTCATGTCTTTATCATCTATGTTACAACATGTACCACACTAATCTGGTTCTGTCCAGATTCTTTGTTTTTCCAGACTCGATATGTCAGGAACCTTTCAGGCGATCAGAACTTGACTGGTTCAGAAAAACTGGTGATGAGTTTCTGTGAATGATTCACCTCCAGCAGCAACAACCACATCATGTCCACCTGCAGGCCTGACAGAGACGCAACTTCATGCTGCCACCTACTGACAAGAGCCTGATACTACAATTACATTGTTTCAGCTCAAACAGCTGTTGTAGAAATCACTGACTCAGCCATTTTTATAACTGTGAGAAATAAGAATCAAATTTGAGTTGATTAATTTGGATGGCAATACGAACAAAATCCTGTATTTAATGTTCTTAAACTTGAAGATGTTTTTCCTTCAGTGCTTCTTGATCTACATCAGATCAGAAAGAGGGAAACTCATTTGACTGAGGTCAACAAAACTAAAAGATCAGAAATCCAAAGCTCTTAACTGCAGAAGACATTGTGTGAGTTGACTAACTTATGAATTTGTGACATTTTCTTAAATATCCTTAGAATGCAAAAGAGATTTCTGGTTTGCTTTTGTGTCACATTACAGTGTTGCAGATCGTCTGCAGTGTTTTCTCTGGTTACAGTAACTGAAAGGTGTAAAAAAGGTCCATGTAGTTTCTGACAGTGGAGAATTAATAACTAATGAAAACATTACATTTGAGATTAGAATAATAAATCATTTATGAAAAATACTTTAATTTTGGAAAATTTAATGAATGTGACCTTTTTTAAAATGTCTTGAATTTTAATATAGAAATTTCTGTGAAACTCAAGTTTCACTGTTATTGCAAGGATCTTTAGATGCTTTACTTAAAGCTGACATTTAAAAATATTGCAAAAGTTTCTCATGATGACAATCATTGAACAATCCAATATTTATTAAAATCAATGTTTATTAAAAAGCACATTCTGCTCAAAACACTGGTACATTTTCAACACTCCTTCTTAATCATAAACTTTACTTCTCATACCAAAGTAAAACAATGACAAAACAATTTGAAAATTATAAATCTGTTTGTGGTTAACTCTAAATCAAAACCTGACCAGATCAAAAGTATTTTTGAGATTTTATTCAAACAAACATTTGTTTTATTAATAAAAAAACAAGATTTCACTGCTTCCATTTCTAAAGTATTTTACATTCAGTCAGACACAAAAATGTAAAAGCTAAACTAAATTATTCTACATGCTACAGAACAAAATGAAAACCTGCAGAAATGAATCCTGTCTGAATGTGATCCCCTCTTTAACTTCACTATCTAATGGGGATCTTAAGCACAAATACGACTGAGAACTAAAACAAAAAGCTGGATTAAGAAAAAACAAGCCGATAGCAGAAATCAGACCTCAAGTTTATCATGGCTGGACAATGAAACAGTCACAGTGAATCACTAGCAGCCTGCAAGAATTTGTTTTCTACTTGCTGTTTACATTATCCAACCAGATTTTCCATTGGATCGGACACAAAAAACGGATCAGTTCTGTTTTGTTCCAAAAGTTTCTAGTATGAGAAAGTCTTTATGTGACGAGTTAAATTACTTCTGTCATTGTAACTCCACGGATTCCACAGAGAAATGTTGTGAATTTTCATGTGACCATTTAAATGACCTTTTTTAGAGAAACTCTTTCCACAGATCCCACAAGAGAACGGCTTCTCACCTGTGTGAATTCTCAAATGATCATTTAAAGTTGTTTTAAGGGTGAAACTTTTACCACAAGTCCCACAAGAGAAAGGCTTCTCTCCTGTGTGAATTCTCTTATGAACATTTAAAGTGTCTTTTCGGCTGAAACTTTTTCCACAAATGCCACAAGAGAAAGGCTTCTCACCTGTGTGAATACTCATGTGAACATTTAAATAACCTTTTTGAGAGAAACTCTTTCCACAGGTCCCACAAGAGAAAGGCTTCTCTCCTGTGTGAATTCCAATGTGCTCAGTTAAAGTCCTTCTGTCACTGTAACTCTTTCCACAGCTCCCACAAGAGAAAGGCTTCTCACCTGTGTGAATTCTCATGTGAACATTTAACTGACCTTTTTGAGAGAAACTCTTTCCACAGCTCCCACAAGAGAAAGGCTTCTCACCTGTGTGAATTCTCATGTGAACATTTAAAAAACGTTTTTCAGAGAAACTCTTTCCACAGCTCCCACAAGAGAAAGGCTTCTCACCTGTGTGAATTCTCATGTGAACATTTAATTGAACTTTTTTAGAGAAACTCTTTCCACAGATCCCACAAGAGAACGGCTTCTCACCTGTGTGAATTCTCAAATGATCGTTTAAAGTTGTTTTAAGGGTGAAACCTTTACCACAAGTCCCACAAGAGAAAGGCTTCTCTTCTGTGTGAATTCTCTTATGAACATTTAAAGTGTTTTTTCGGCTGAAACTTTTTCCACAAATGCCACAAGAGAAAGGCTTCTCACCTGTGTGAATTCTCACATGAACATTTAAATTACCTTTTTCAGAGAAACTCCTTCCACAGCTCCCACAAGAGAAAGGCTTCTCACCTGTGTGAATTCTCATGTGAACATTTAATTTAACTTTTTGAGAAAACTCTTTCCACAGCTCCCACAAGAAAAAGGCTTCTCTTCTGTGTGAATTCTCTTATGAACATTTAAAGTGTCTTTTCGGCTGAAACTTTTTCCACAAATGCCACAAGAGAAAGGCTTCTCACCTGTGTGAATTCTCACATGAACATTTAAATTACCTTTTTCAGAGAAACTCCTTCCACAGGTCCCACAAGAAAAAGGCTTCTCACTTGTGTGAATTCTCAAATGATCATTTAAAGTTCTTTTAAGGGTGAAACTTTTACCACAAGTCCCACAAGAGAAAGGCTTCTCTCCTGTGTGAATTCCAATGTGCTCAGTTAAAGTCCTTCTGTCACTGTAACTCTTTCCACAGCTCCCACAAGAGAAAGGCTTCTCACCTGTGTGAATTCTCATGTGAACATTTAATTGAACTTTTTGAGAGAAACTCTTTCCACAGGTCCCACATGAGAAAGGCTTCTCACCTGTGTGAATTCTCAAATGCTGATTTAAAGTTGTTTTAAGGGTGAAACTTTTACCACAAGTCCCACAAGAGAAAGGCTTCTCTCCTGTGTGAATTGTCTTATGACCATTTAAAGTGTCTTTTCGGCTGAAACTTTTTCCACAAATGCCACAAGAGAAAGGCTTCTCACCTGTGTGAATTCTCATGTGCTTAGTTAAAGTCCTTCTGTAACTGCAACTTTTCCCACAGGCTGAACAAGTGAAACGTTTTATTCCTGTGTGAGTTTTCATGTGTCTCAAAAAGTTACAGTTATAAGATAAGTTTTTATCACAAATTTTACAAGAGTATAATTTTTGCCCTCGATGAGCATTTTCATTGTCAGTTCTTTCTTTCTGCTGTTTGGTTTTCTCATATCTCTCCTTTTGTTTCTGTTCTTCCTTTTTTTTTTTTCTGGGTCTTCAGAATTGATTCCTTCCTGATCCTGGTTCTCATCCTCAGCAGAGCCATGAGAGATGAGTTGGTTCCTCTGTGGTTCTGTTTCATTGAGAACCTCCTCTTCACACACACAACATTGTGAGAGATCTGAACAAAAAGAAAAACAAAAGCTTTTAAATGTCAATCATGCAAGAAATTCTTCACTTTAACCTCAAAGTATCAAAACAGGATTTTCTTGGGTTATTCTAAAATTATAATCTGACAAGAATGAAAATTATTTCAACCAATGAGGTTCTTCTGACCAGAATGGAACTAGATGTGAGTGAAAATATGACATTAAGGACCTCCAGGTGAGTAAAATAGATGGCGATAACTTAATTTAGTGGTTTCTAGACCAATGTCAGAAAAAGTTTTCTTCCTCCATGTAGCTACAAGATATATATCAACATGAAAGAGTGACATAAAATACCTAAAGCAAAACACTACAGTGTTTTTAATCTCACCCGCTGATATTGTCAGACATTGCTCCGCTCACACACTCAACACAAACTTTCAAAAGAACAAATAAATCTCAGCCTTTACTTTCCTGGGATTCACAGCAGAATTGGTAGCAGTGAGTGATTGTTGTTAATCGCGCACATGCAGAAAATAATGGCAAAATGAACCAATTGAAAATATTTGACATGAATATTGGACAATTTAGAAGATTAAATATGAAAGGTGAAAATGGACAATAATATAAATTCATTTATTTACTGCAAACCTTATGAAATATGCAATTACATTATTAAAATGTAAACTTACACAATCAAAATCATAAAAAAATAATCATTTAATTATATGTTCTTATTATTAGTAGTAGTATTATTTTTTGCAGTTACTGCAGGATCACCATGAAATGACCTTTTGACCTTTATCCATAACTTGCAACTTTGTTCACTGAAGTTGTTAGTCGGGCTGAAACGATTCCTGGAATGGTTCCAGAACCTCGATTATTAAAATTCTCTAGGAAAATGTAGCTGCCTCGAATCTTCGTTAGTTTATGTTTCATTATTTAGCGCACCTTGTTCCAGCCGGGATATTATTTGCATTACGTGTTGCTCTGACTTCCACCTCTGAGTTGTTGACAAAAGCTAAATGTTAGCAGCATAACGTCCAATTTTCAAGTTGGGCCAAGGGGATTTTATTAATTGATGAAAACATTCGGGTTTTCATCGTTTTTGGGGGACCAATAAGGATCTTTAAAATGACCGGCGCGATGCCTGGAGTACGGCAGCCTTTCTCCTCCAGGAGCTGCTGGTTCAGAGCGAACGGTGGGAAGAGCTGCAGGAGAATTTATACAGGTAGAGTTTAAACTCTACCTGTATAAAGCTTGACAGGTATGGTGCAAGGTGAGAGTTCATCCATTAAACTCACTGAAGATGAATACAGAAACCAAAGGCTGGAGCACAGACATTCTTTATTAGCGTATTTGTGAGCCTGCCTCTTTGTTATTAAATTGAATATAATTTCAGATTGTTGTAGAACTTTTCTTCAGATTAACTTAGAAAGTGAGATATTATTGTTACAGGTTAGTTTTTGTAATTGTTAGTGTTCGGGATGCTCAAATATGAAAGATTGGACTCATATTGATATCTGATAGTAACACTAGTTTAATGCCAGATTTACCAATATTTTATTTGATCTTTTAACCGATTACTCGATTAATCACAAGAATAATCAATATATTACTCATTACTAAAATATTTGATTATAAACAGCCCTATTGTCAGTATGCAGTTTGTTAAGACAAGCAGTGGTTACTGCATTCTAGTGAATTAATAAAAGACACCTGATCTCAGTCTCCTTGTACCATTTCACCACAGTGACTCTTTACATGTCTATCGCTGTTACTGATGTATAAAAAACTACAACTAATAAACAAATAATGCTCAACCTGCTGGATTTCCAGACTTATAACACTGGGAAAAACCCTGAGATTCTTAAAAAAGCAGCATAAATCTTTTCATTTTGAATTAAAAAACATCTATGTTTGCCAACTATAAGCAGTATTTTTCTAATCTGTCTCTTAAACTGATTTATATAATCAGTCATTTATTTATTGTCTAATTTGACATAGAAAGCAGCTAAGCAATAGCAAACAGATGGTACACAAAGCAATAAAAACTAATTATTTTTAAAATAATCTTTAACCAGTACGAGTAAAGATCAGACCGTCACGGATCATAAACTGTAACTTAGACATTATATGATGAATAGTAAACAGTCCAGGTCAAAGTTGATCATTCTAAGTGTGGCCTGTCACGATAACAGATTTTGCTGGGCGATAAATTGTCTCAAAAATTATTGCGATAAATGAGAATATTGTTTGAAGACCTTTTTACATTGATTTAATGGAAATTACGTAATAATACATGCAATTTCCTGCCAAAGATAGATACACTTTACTTTCAAAAGACACTTAACACTGGGACTGATACACAAAATAAATAAAACAACCAAAACCAAAAATAAAATAGATTCTTAGTCTCCATTAACAATAAATGTACTTAATTAAAAACTCAACAACATAAAGCCAAAGTGGAAATAAACACTGCATTCAGCCAAATGAGTGCAGATTATGAAGCCTGTATAGTATATTGGCCTTCAGTAATAATTAGATTTAAATAGAGAAGAATCCGACTGCCTGATGCAATAGTTCAAACTACATTTTTTTTTTATCCCGAACGACAATCTTAGAACGTTCTTCGTTCTGAGATTGTCCCTTGTGTGTTACGGTAGATCGTTGTGCCGCTCCGATCTAAATCAAGGATTTATCCAGACTGGGAGAGTGACGCAGCCTGTTGAATGTGACCGGCAGCCAATCAGAAAGCGCGGATTCTCCTCGTGCTTTCTGAGGGGAAACACGGAGGGAATCCCGAACAGCTGACACGATGCAACCCGAAGTCCAGTAAACATCGGAAACAACATGAATGTTTATTCAACAGTTCGTGCAAAGAAAATATAAATAACTAGGTTGAAGATTGGCTTGTACGGCCAATCTTCAACCAAGCATTACGGGACCAAATGAATCAGAATCAGCGTTTGGTTCTGTCGCTGCATCAGAACCACTTTTAGGAGTTGGAGCGAAATTTCTACCAGAAAACCCGGTAACTTTTCAGCTGTTCTTCGTTAACGTGACATAAATAGTTATAATGATTTTCATTCAGTCAGACTGACACTGGCTACATGCATTGCAGGTAGATTGTAGTAAGGAATTGATTAATGCCTGATTTCAAAGTTAGTGAACTGGACTTGTTATTTTGTGTCCATTGTTGGACACAACACGGTTTCAACCGAACCGTTATAGCGAGGATTTCTGTCGCTAATGTGTCTCTCAGGTTTGGACAATCCGCGACATCAGATCGTGAAGCGCAAGCTGAGCATTACACTAAGGAAATAAGGAAGGGAGGGTCAGTGGAGAGCACCGGAGTTTAGCCTTTTTTCATTCAGTGTCATCAACAGGAAGAGAAAAAGGCAGGAAGAAACGATATAAACAATAATTGAAATGAGGTCGATAGTTTTAACTTATCGTTCGATTAATTGACTTATCGTTGATCGCGACAAGCCTAAGTGTTTAGAATGACATGAGATGCGTTTAAGGCACTTTTTGAAGTAAAATTCAACCTCAATAACACCAATAAGACGATAGCAGCCACCCTCTACATGCCGTCATCAGCAGCCAGAGAAGCCTGTTCAGTGACAGACTGCTGCTTCCCAAGTGCCAGACCAATAGATTCAAGAACTCCTTTGTCCCCCACGCCTTCAGACTGTACAACTCCTCACTGGGGGTCGGAGGTGACACAGGACAGAGGGAAGAAGGAGTAGTTTTTCTACAAATGTGAACTCCATATTTATCAGGCCAAACCATACAGTGCAATACCATATCACTGGTCAATCTATCCACCAAATTGCTATAATTTCCTTTTGTGTTGTATTTATATTCTTTGTTTTGTATTTAATTTGTATTTTTTTGTATTCTTTTGTGTATGCTTACTGTGTGCCACATTTTTGCCTGTGAGCTGCTGGTAACTATAATTTCCTGAGGGAGTCTTCCCAAGGGATCAATAAAGTCAAGTCTAAGTCTAAGTCTAAGTCTAAGCAACTAATTTGTAGAATAAAAGATAAATTATAGATACAATTTATTATAAAATAGACTTTTACTATTTTTATTTTTTAGGACTAGCAGAGAAGAACCTGCTGGCCCTGACAGCCTCCACTGAGTATTTAATGTTTATAATGTTTGCGGATTCTTTAAACAGGTTTCAGATGCAGCGATGTTTAACCAGTCTATCAGTAAACAGTGAAGCTGTTTCCTAAGTATTCAGTGTCCAGGTATTTCCTGAAACTGGTCGGTAAACAGAAAGGCGGCACGGAAACTGTACTTGTCCTATTATATGATCAATAAATCATAATAGAATAATATTATATGATGAATAGTAGGTCGCTGTTGATCATTTTTAAGTATTTAATGTTTGCAGCTGCGGAGGATTTATTAGTCTTTTAGTTTGGAGTAAAAGCTCTTTGAGTTCAGCGCTTCTTAACCTCTTTAAAACATCTCCAACTTTATTCAACCTGACTAATCAGTAAACCGTGAAGCTGTTTCGTACCTATCCGCTGCAAGATGATCTTCGGTATTGTGGTGTTACTCATTAATCTGGTTCTGCTCCCATGCGGTGTTTTCGAAGCGCACTGAACGCTGCTCTGTTGAAACTTGCTTTGAAACTAATTTTCCAAATGCAACATTAAACATTTTTGCTTCAAATGGGATCTATAATAATGTTTTGCAAACGGTTTTGTCACACAAGAGGCATTTTTCAACAGGCATCCACACAGCCACCTACAATTCAGAAACATCTGCGGCGCGCAAATGTTTCAACTAGTTAATCTGAAACATCGGCCCAGAAAGTTTCCTACATTGTCTCGAGCTGTCTTTAACCTGTTTTTAATTCTCCAGAGTAAAATTTAAAGCTGTTTCGTACCTATCCGGTGCAAGATGATCTTGGGTATCCGGGTAAAATCCATCAGTCTGCGCTGATCGTCCATCTCTTCCTCCATCTTAACGTTGATTTCTTTCCACTCTGTGAATGTTTCTTCAGCAGGAGTTTCCTGCTGCTTGATAAACTCTCTGAGGCTGAACTGAAGACATTTTCACTGAAAACACGACCGAAACCTGTTTTCAAACCGTCTAACAAAAGAACAGCTAATGCTCCCTCGTGCGCTCTGAGATGGCTCCTGTGTTTCACTTTGACTGCACGGAAGAAACTGTAAACGACTTTTAGTTCCGCTTTGAATTTTCCACTTTGAGTTTCCGCTCAACTGTTATGTTAAATATTTTACAACATTAACAAAATGTTCTTATATTTCAGTGAGTGAATCATTATATTAAAGTAATTGCACACAAACGGGAGTTTTACGAGCCTTTAATCTTTGTTTATTTTGAAAATGTTCAGCTAATGGCAACAGTATTTATGATTAAAATAATAATAAAACAAAATCCTAAAAATGTGGTCTTGTGCAAACGGGCCATATTTGAAGGTTTTTTCTTATTTCTTGTGTGTGATTTAACAGTCTAATGTTATATCCCGTATTGCTTCCCCCTCAATACAGGAACCAAAAGAACCACAACCAAGCTGTTGCAAAAGGGAAGACACAGTAAAATGTGTCTCCAAGCCGCTCACAGTGTGTATCAATCAATCAATCAAATTTTATTTGTATAGCACATTTCAGCTACAAGGCATTTCAAAGTGCTTTACATCATAAACACAAAACACAAAGGCATGCAACATAGAATAAAATACCAAGGTTTTTTGTTTTTTTTCTTTTCCCTTTTCCTTCCCTTTCTTCCCCCTTCCCTTTGTCACGGAATTTAAGCGCCTGTTACCGCCGGACTCCGCCGTCCGTTTAACCACGGGTATTCGCCGGGCCCCGTTGTCCACAACAGGAAAAAAAAAAAAAGATTACATACATATCCACAAAATCAAATCCATACATATTACATTTCAAATACAATTCTAAACAGGTGCGTTTTTACTTGAGATTTGAAGTACTGACACTCTGCTTCAGAGCTTGTCTTTTTTATAGCTTAAGAGAAGGGGCTATTATGAAGGGGAACACAGAAACTAAATTCTATACATAGACAGTTTTACAACTGAGGAGTATCTCAGAAAGTTCTCCTAAAGGTGATAAGACCACCTGCAAAAACATGCTCAAGGGTAAAGAAATGTTAGTTATGTTTTACACACACTTTAACAAATTCCTCCTCTCTGGGGTGAGAACACTAAACTGACATCCATCCATCCATCCATCCATCCATCCATCCATCCATCCATCCATCCATCCATCCATCCATCCCATCCATCCATCCATCCATCCATCCATCCATCCATCCATCCATCGCTTATCCGAGGTTGGGTCGCGGGGGTAGCAGCTTAAGAAGCTAAACTAACCTTTAAATTTAAATTAAAAACTGCTAATATAAACTACTAATGTAAGAGTGACAACAAAACATAATACTAGTAACAGTCGCCAAATGAAATGGTTGAAAATCATTTAACATATGAACTGACATGGAAAAAAATAATTCTAATCTGTGTGAAACAGATCAGGTTGAGACTCTGGCAAATAGCAAAGAGGAAAATTTGTTTATTTCTGTCGTTTGCAAACGGAGAACACACAGCAACCACAGCACAGCAGCTGTACCTGCAATAAGCTCGGACTTGGAGCTGCAAGCTCTCACAATATATAGGATTCTTTACACAACATGGTCACTCCTTTGGCTCAGAGTCAATTCCAGTTGAACAGGTTTACTGCAGTCATGTAGCCACAGAGACGCAACTTCTTCCTTACTGAAAGATGTTTAGTTAATAAACATCTTCTTGTTCAAAATATGGGAGTTTCCAAAAATCAGGATGCTAAAGGAACAATTTTGCAAACCAAAAACATTGTCAGACCTGTACGTACTCTGAGCCTCTGACATTCAATGGAGAAATTTGTTAGACCTTAGGGCTCTTACTATATTTACCTAAACTATCTGTTGTTATCTGTTAAACTCTGGCGCCTTGCTTTGGTATTTGTGGTGAGACATTTAGTCCACTTATCAGTCTGTTGCAACTGCTGCAGAGAGAGGTCAGCAGGAAACCCATCTGACTGGTTCTTGGCCTACATACTTTATCAGACTGAACAATACTATTGTAAATAACTAAAATAATTAATAAAATGTTAAAGGAAATAACACAATTTTCACTTTACACTGATTTTCCATAATTTAGCTTATTTTTTTATTTGGCTTGCTATTTTCATTCTGTGCTTTGTACTATAAAGTATTTATTTATCTTGACCAATTTTGCTTTTTTATTTCCTCAAATTCGCTGATTTATTGGAGTTTTCCCATTCTTGGAAGCGCAGCTGGTGAGGCAGCAGCGAGTTGACTTCACCTGGGATAGATCACCTCACTACCTGCACTGGCTGCCATTCAATGAGAGCATGCTCCTCCTGACTCTATGTCACCAATGAAACGATTAAAATAACACATTTAATATATGAACCAATTTTCCATAATTTAGCTTAGGTATATAATGTTTAGTGTTTTTTGTCACCAACTGTGTGTAACACGTTTCATGTGCTGAGGAGCGATCATGACCGTGAGGCAGGCAGTTCTCTTGCCTCATGGCAGGGGGCGCTCAAGATTCCAGACATTGTGACTCCATAACTCCAGAGTGACAGCAAGCGACCAACACCGGACCTGAAAGGTTTGCTTCGAGACAGTCTGATGATTCTCAAACAGAATAATATACATGACACTCAGAGCACAGGCTTGGTTTTGGATGTTCTTTATTGTGCAGAATTGGTGGTGCATGGCTTTCATTTATAAGTAAAGGTTAAGATGGCAATAAAATGTTTTTGTTTAGTTTTCTAACAAAATGTGCATTTTGTGGGCCACAGTCTGTATGTGTAAAGAATTCAGTAAAGTAGAAGCAGTAGCTAATCTACCACAGAAATAATTATTTAATAAAACACTAAGACAAAAACAGACTACTGCAACAAACTCAATGTTCTGTTCTGTGAGCAAAATTCTTGAATATTTTATTTTTGGTATTAAATCCTAAAACATAAAGTGGCATTGTTGTCAATTGCTATGGCAAAGAGTCTGCATATAGCTTGGGTGATACACAGCAAAGGGTTTAGGTTTCTCCCTTTGCTGCGGATAATCCCACAAAATTAATACCTACATTTCTAAGATTCATCTAGTTAATGCAGCTATGGATGACATGTAAAAGAACGGTCTTTCTGCCCTCCAGCATTGTATGAATGAGCAAACTTTCTGTATGTAAACAATAACATACATGGTGTCTGTTATACATCGTAAAGCCTCACCGCACGTCACTGTTAAGCACGCATATGAATGTTTAAGTGTTTAAGTAAATGTTTTTTCATCCTAAAACTTTTACCACAGGTCCCACATGAGAAAGGCTTCTCATCTGTGTGAATTCTCATATGATCAGTTAAACCGGCTTTATGGGTGAAACTTTTTCCACAAGTCTCACAAGAAAAAGGCTTCTCACCTGTGTGAATTTTCATGTGCTGAGTTAAATGTCCTTTTTGAGTGAAACTTTTTCCACAGGTCACACAAGAGTAAGGCTTCTCACCTGTGTGAATTCTTATATGATCACTTATACCGGCTTTATTTGTGAAACTTTTTCCACAGATCCCACAAGAGAAAAGTTTCTCACTTGTGTGAATTCTCATGTGATAAGTTAAATTGTGTCTGTGAATGTAACTCTTTCCACAGGTCCCACAAGAGAAAGGTTTCTCACTTCTGTGAATTCTCATGTGCCGAGTTAAAGTCGTTCTTTGATAGTAACTCTTTCCACAGGTCCCACAAGAGAAAGGCTTCTCACTTTTGTGAATTCTCATGTGCTGAGTTAAACTACTTCGATGATTGTAACTCTTTCCACAGGTCCCACAAAAGAAAGACTTCTCAGCTGTGTGAATTATCATGTGACGAGTTAAATGTCCTTTAAGTGTGAAACTTTTTCCACAGGTCCCACAAGAGAAAGGCTTCTCACCTGTGTGATTTCTAATATGAACACTGAAACTGCATTTATGGGTGAAACTTTTTCCACAGGTCCCACAAGAGAAAGGCTTCTCACCTGTGTGAATTCTAATGTGATAAGTTAAATGTCCTTTTTGAGTGAATCTTTTTCCACAGGTCCCACAAGAGAAAGACTTCTCACCTGTGTGAAGTCTCGCATGAATTTTTAAGCTGCATTTATGACTGAAACGTTTACCACAGCTCCCACAAGGGAAAGGCTTCTCACCTGTGTGAATTCTCATGTGAGAAATTAAACCATTCTTTCGTATGTAATTCTTCCCACAGGTTGAACAAGTGTAAAGTTTTACTCCCGTGTGAGTTTTTATGTGTTTCGTCAAGTAACTGTTTTGAGAAAATGTTTCATCACAAATTTTACAAGAATATAATTTTTGACCTTGGTGAGCTTTCTTGTACTTATTTTGTTTCTTTCTTTTTTTTCCTGGATTTTCAGAATTGCTTCCTTCCTGATCCTGGTTCTCAGTTTCTGAAGAACCATGAGAGATGAGTTGGTTCCTCTGCAGTTCTGTTTTATTGAGAATCTCCTCCTCTTTACTGCATTGTGAGAGATCTGGACAAACAGAAAAAACAAAAGCCTTTAAACGTCAATCAAACAAGAAATTCTTCACTTTAACCTCAACTTGTCAAAACAGAATTTTTTTGGGATTATTCTAAAATTACAAACTTACAAGAATGAAAATTAACTCAATCAATGAGGTTCTTCTGACCAGAATAGAACTAGATGCGAGTCAAAATATAATATTATGGATCTCCAGGTGAGCAAACAAGATGGCGATAGCTTAATCCAAAGGCTTCCTGACTAATGTTAGAAAAAGATTTCTTCCTCCAAGTAGCTACAGAATATATATCTCGTTAAAATGACAAAATGCCTGACGCGAAACACTTAATGGTATTTAATCTCACCCACTGATATTGTCAGACATTGCTCCACTCACACACTCAACACAAACTTTCAAAAGCAAATAAATCTCAGCCTTTACTTTCCTGGATTCACAGCAGAACTGATAACAGTGGGTGATTGTTGTTAATCGCACATGCAGAAAATAATGGCAAAATGGTCCTATTGAAAATATTTGACATGAATATTGGACAATTTGGAAGATTAAATATAAAAGGTGAAAATGATATAATTACATAAAGGTTTATTTAATACACAATTATTAAATATGTCATTACATTATTAAAATAGAAACTTAGCAGCCAGTCAAGACAATTATTAAATATGCTTTTGATTGCTCTGTTCATTATTATCATCGCCTGGTTCCAGTTCCTGCAGTGTCACCATAAAATAATTCCCCAATCAAAGTGGAGGGCGGGCTGTGGGCGGGGCTAACACTGACCTTTAACATAAATTTGAGCCGTTATTCTGTCAGAATATCTGACATGCATTGAGTACAAATGAGCATTAAGAGGTGCTGTCAGTTCAGCATCTGTGACAAGATACAAGAGAAAGTCAATAAATAGATTTATTGATGATGGATTGATATAAATGCATTGTCATGGTTTCACAGTGTAATTGACTGCAGTCCACTATGAAACCTGCCTCCTGTTCCTTGATGATGGTCTGACTGGTTAACCGCCAAGTCAGGATGTCATACAGCTGTTGACTAATTTATGACTATCTCTCTTCTATGTCATGATGTTATGTTGCTGATTTAATACAAGCAGGTTTTCACCAGAGAAATCCTTTTCACCTGTGAGAATCTTCATGTGATAAATCAAACTATTCTTTTCACTGAAACTTTTTCCACATTTAAAATGTGAAAGACTTCTTGTGTGATCAAGCAACCGTTTAGAGAGAAGGTTTAATCATAAACTTTACAAGAATATAACTTTTGGACTCTGTGATTTTTCAAGAGCCTTTTTTGGTTTGAACAATCAGTTTTACCTTTCTGGCATTTTTTGTTGTGTTTTGTTTTTCGTCTTTCTGTTCTCCTGGATCTTCAGAATTGCTTCCTTCCTGATCCTGGTTCTCATCCTCAGCCGGAGCCATGAGAGATGAGTTGGTTCCTCTGAGGTTCTGTTTCATTGTAGATTCTTTGCACATTTAGAGGATTCACCAAAATGTCATCAGTCTCCTGTTTCAGCACCAGATGCTCTTCATCCTGACTGATACAGAGTTGCTTCTCTTCCTCTTTCAACTGTTGATGTTCTGGTTCCTCTTGCTCCTGTTTTATCTGCAGAGGTTCTGGTTCTCTTGTTCCTGTTTTATCTGCAGAGGTTCTGGTTCCTCTTTATCTGAAGTGGACTTCCTCTCCTGGATGCTGAATTTATTTAGATCCTCCTCCTCTTTACACACCCAGCACTGTGGCAGATCTGCACAAAAACACAAAACAAAAGCTTTTAAATGTAAGTAAAAGAATGAGTCCTTCATTTTAATCACTTCAAGCCTTTTCAAGAGATCCAACACTAAAATTACAAATGTATAAATTAACTTAAACTTTCGTCTTTCTGACTGGAAGGGATCAACAAGTCAGTCAGATGCTGATAATTAACCAAGTGGCTCCACGACGCACCAAACATGTTTGCGCCAAAGTGTTCGTTGCTATTAATGATACAAAAATATTTTCAGATGCGGGGTGGAATAGCCTAGAAATAAAAATAATTTTTCAAAAACAAACAAACCTCTTAACCTCTTTGGATTAGAGATTAATGTGCCCTGAATTAGAAACTATAATCTATTGATGTGATGAAGAGCAGATTGTCCAAATCACCGCTGATTATAATAGACTTATAGTTTCATAAAAGCCGTTTAAATAACCTGATAATCAGTAAACCGTGAAGCTGTTTCGTACCTATCCGGTGCAAGATGATCTTGGGTATCCGGGTAAAATCCATCAGTCTGCGCTGATCGTCCATCTCTTCCTCCATCTTAACGTTGATTTCTTTCCACTCTGTGAATGTTTCTTCAGCAGGAGTTTCCTGCTGCTTGATAAACTCTCTGAGGCTGAACTGAAGACATTTTCACTGAAAACACGGAAATATTTTCGAAAACACCAAACCTGTTTTCAAACCGTCTAACAAAAGAACAGCTAATGTTAGCCCGTGTGCTCTGTTTTCATCTTCCCCGTGTTTCACTGTGGCTGTCCCACAGAAACTATGAAGTATTTATAAGATCCGCTGTTAGTCACTTCTTGATATACATTTCTAGTTAGTAAATTAATATATTATTCAAATATTAATTTATTTTTGTAACCCAATTCCAAAATAGTGTAATTTATTTAATATAACTTCTATAAAAAAGAGGAGCCTCAACGAAAATTGAAAGCGGAACAAAAGAATTGTTTCTTCGGCACAGTCAAAGTGAAACACACTGAATAACACGACGCACACGGTGGCTTAGTGTTCTTTTGTTAGACGGTTTGAAAACAGGTTTGGTGTTTTCGGTAAATATTTCCGTGTTTTCAGTGAAAATGTCTTCAGTTCAGCCTCAGAGAGTTTATCAAGCAGCAGGAAACTCCTGCTGAAGAAACATTCACAGAGTGGAAAGAAATCAACGTTAAGATGGAGGAAGAGAAGGACGATCAGCGCAGACTGATGGATTTTACCCGGATACCCAAGATCATCTTGCACCGGATAGGTACGAAACAGCTTCACGGTTTACTGATTAATCAGGTTAAATGTTTGGAGCGATGCTGAACTAAACTGAAAAGTTTTTGGATTAACGAATCCGCTCCACCTGGAAATTAATTAAACACTTAAAATGAACAACTGCGACCTGTTTACTGTTCATTATACAATATCTAAATCATAGTTTGTAATTTTTGTCCACCATTTAAAAAGATCCTGGTTCAAGTTGGTTTAGGTTGCATTTTCTTTTCTATCTTGTAACTATAGCGCTAATTCTATAATTTGTTGATAGATTGATATTGAGTTAAACACTCAGATGATTTTAAACAAGTAGTTTAAAAAAATGAGACCTTCATTGAATAATTTAGTTGTGCAGCCTCAGTAAACCAGGATGATCCTGCATGAGCATGTATTGTTAGAAACCTCCTTATTTTGCTTCGCACACATTTGTTGGAATAGCTAATGCCACACATGGTCAAAGTTCATTTCTACTGCATATTTCAGCAACAAGGCAGATCAAAGTGCTTTAAATCATAAAAGTGTTGATTACAGACTGCAAGTCTTTGAGTCACCGTATCATTGAAAATTTCTTCTGCAGAGTTTTAGATAAGTGTCATCCTCATAAGATTCCCTGAAATTCGCCAAGTATAGAGTTAAGAACTTTCTTTTCTTTTCTTTGAAAACCCACCTTCCTCCAGTGTAGTCATGTTACTGCTTCAGGACAATCAGGGAATATAATTTCTCAGTCTGCCAATAGAAAGAATAAAAATGGAAAAGCCGTTTTGAGATTTTTATAGACATTTCTTCCAAAAGCTCAATTTGATGCATATTCTGTTTGTACATAGAGGAAGGAGACTTTTTAGTTAAGGTGACACGAGCTTAATTCATTGCTATCTTGCTTGTTTACCCAGAAGTCCATAATGACTAGACTAACATCTAGTTTTATTTCATTTGTTTAGTTTGTAATATTAGAATAATCTAAGAGCAGGTAAGGGTTTGTTGTTTGACTCAGATTTAAAAGCTTTTGTTTTGTCTTTTTGTCCAGATTTCCCACAGTGCTGTAAACAGGAAGAGATTCTGAATGAGCCCATCAACCGGGAAAAAAACTCCACTTTAGATGACGAGGAACCAGAACCTCTGCAGATAAAACAGGATCAAGAGGAACCAGAACCTCTGCAGATAAAACAGGAGCAAGAGGAACCAGAACCTCTGCAGATAAAACAGGAGCAAGAGGAACCAGAACCTCTGCAGTTCAAAGAGGAAGAGAAGCAGCTCTCCATCAGTCAGGATGAAGAGCAGCTTGTGCTGAAACAGAAAACTGATGGCATGTTGGTGAATAAACGGCAGAAAGGTAAAACTGAGACTTCAAAACAGAAAACACACAAGAAAGTTCAACCAAACCAAAAACTATATTCTTGTAAATTTTGTGATAAAACCTTTTCTCAAAATATTTTCTTGACGTCACACATGAGAAATCACAAGAAACCTTTCACATGTTCAACCTGTGGAAAAAGTTATCCTTGCAAGAGTCGTTTAATTTATCACATGAGAATTCACACAGGGGAAAGACCGTTCACATGTGCAGCTTGTGGAAAAAGTTTCTATCACAAAGACACTTTAAAAGTTCACATGAGACTTCACTTAGGTGAGAAGCCTCACACATGCACAACCTGTGGAAAAGGTTTTCTGTGTAAATCTCTGTTACTTGAGCACATGTTGAGTCATATAGCTAAGAAGCCTTTCTCTTGTGGAACGTGTGGAAAAGGTTTCAATCATAAAAGAAATTTAACTGTTCACATGAGATTTCACACGGGTGAGAAGATTTTCCCATGTGGGACATGTGGAAGAAATTTTGTGTCTAAATCTCACTTAGCTAATCACATGGGAGTTCACACAAATGAGAAGCCTTTCTCATGTGGACCTGTCAGAAAGGCTTCCGAAGGAAACTCGACTTAGACAATCACATAAGAATTCACACAGGTGAGAAACCTTTCTCATGTGGGACATGCGGAAAAAATTTTGCTCGAAAAAACTCCTTAAAGTCTCACATGAAAACTCATACAAGTGAGAATTCTTTCTCGTGTAGGACCTGTAGAAAAAGTTTCACTGACAAAGAAAAGTTGACTGATCACATGAGATTTCACACTGGTGAGAAGCCTTTCTCTTGTGGGACCTGTGGAAAAGACTTTGTGTATGAATCAAACTTGGTTAGTCACATGAGAATTCACACAGGTGAGAAGCCTTTGTCCTGTGGAACATGTGGAAAAGGTTTCACTCATAAAAAAAGTCTAACTTCTCACATGACATTGCACACAGATGCAAAGAGTTTGGCATGTACAACCTGTGGAAAATGTTTTGTGTACAATTCACACTTAGTTAATCACATGAGAATTCACACAGGTGAGAAGCCTTTCTCTTGTGAGACCTGTGGAAAAAGTTTCGCTCATAAGATCAATTTAACTGCCCACATGAGAGTTCACACAGGTGAGAAGCCTTTCTCTTGTGGAACCTGTGGCAAATGTTCTGTGTGTAAATCGAGTTTACTTCATCACATCAATCAATCAATCAGTCAGTCAATGTTATTTATGAAGGACCCTTCATATTAAAGGCAGTCAGAGTGCTGTGCAGATGAATAAAAACAAACTCATAAAAGACAATTACCCGCCCTGCACAGAAATAATCCAGGGAATGGTTAAAGCGTCGGGTGTTGAGCCAGCTCTGTCTTAAGACAGCAACATTTTCTGCTGCCCTCAGGTTCTCTGGCAGATTTTCCACAAGCAGGAGCCATTACACTGGAAAGAAACCTAACCATAAGTGTGTTCATTTATAATATATATATATATATATATATATATATTTGTGTGAGTGGACATTTAAAAGAGCCATATTAAGGGTTTCAGGTGAACTGTTAACATTAATTGTGGGTGGTAGATAATGTTTTTCTGAAAGTCTAAGTTTATTAAAGTTCACTGAACGGGTACTGTTATGTATATTTGTTCCATGTATGTAGTCCGAACTGAAATTAACCAGGTATGTGTATAACAGTCAGTAGAAAAACAGAAGCCAGGACCATCAGTAGCAGACTGGTCACATCTAGAGATAATATGGTTACCAGATATGGTTACAATGGTGATTAACACGAGTTAGAAGCATTTCTCTTGAGCGTACTATAGAAAAAGTTTTGCTCAAATAAAATTTAGTTGTTCACATGAGAACTCATGCAAGTTTTATGGCATAATGTGAACTTCAAGTAGCAAGATTCTCAGCAACTTGCTGTTTGGAAGTGCTTTATATAAAGCTGGATTGCTTTTTTTAAATGTAGCAGCTTTGCTTAAAAAGCTTTTCAAATCAGAGATTTAGCTGAAACACTTTAACATTTACTTTGTTCTTGCAACCTTATGTTGACATTTATATTTTCTTATGAGAGTAAGGAATATAGTAATAGTCTCTTTGAGGTTTAATGGTTTGAATGCTTTCAGATTTGTAAAGTTTTTGGGACTTTGTGTGTTTATCCTTTTCCTTTGTACTTATTTCTTTTATTTCAATAGTTCTGGGAAATGGATGCATGTTAGCTGCTACTGCATGTACAGTTAGTGTCACATATTAATGAGAGTAATGTTTTATGAATCAAGTCTTTTTTTCTGTTTTCTCAAGTTTTGATTAAGGAAAGAAATGGTGCTAAATAATGGTCTGAAATTCTGTCCCCTTTTGTTTGACTTTGCATTACCTTTTTTCATCTTCTCTTGTAAAAGTGTAGTTTTTTTTACCCATGTCTTTTTTTTGTCAGTTTTTCTTTGACATGGTCTTTTTCTTTTGGATAGTAGAAATTTCATGATATGAAATTAAAGACAGAAAAATTACTTTCAAAGGAAATGTCTGTTGAATTCTTGATAATAAAGTGTATTTACCATATTTATGATCTTTTTCTTTATTTCGTTTAGTAGAAGATTGTTGTCAAAATCGGTGTACATAATCACACTCCATCGTCTATTAATTTATTTTATTTAAAGAGAATACTGTTATGTTTCAATATGTGAATTATTCTCTTATTGTCACTTATGGTGACTGTACATGTAGTTGCAACATTTTGCCACCAGAGAGTCTAACACATCTTATAAAAACTAAAGTAAAAATCAATAGAAGATGTTTCAGGATCTCATAATTAATGTGATTTCTAAATAGATCCTAAAATAGTTTGTATTTATAAATGCAAGAGTTCTAACCTGTAAGCAGAACACCATCATAATGAACGTAAACAAGGCTTGTAAACATTAGTCTGTATAACTATTCTATATATAGTATTGAAATGAAATAGTTTCTACAATATTCTAGTTTATTTAGTCTGACGCTACATTAAAAGAGGAGACAACGCCGAAAATCCAAAGCGGAACTAAAAGTCGTTCACAGTTTCTTCAGTGCAGAAACAGAAACACTCGGAGGAGCACAGAGAGATTAGCATTAGCTTCTCCTTTGTTAGAAGGTTGTGCGAACTCGGATTTGGTGTTTTCGGTAAATATTGTGAGTGTTTAATGTAAAAATGTCTTCAGTTCAGCCTCAGAGAGTTTATCAAGCAGCAGGAAACTCCTGCTGAAGAAACATTCACAGAGTGGAAAGAAATCAACGTTAAGATGGAGGAAGAGATGGACGATCAGCGCAGACTGATGGATTTTACCCGGATACCCAAGATCATCTTGCACCGGATAGGTACGAAACAGCTTCACGGTTTACTGATTAATCAGGTATTTAAACGGCTTTTGTATGAAACTATAAGTCTATTGTAATCAGCTGTGATTTGGACAATCTGCTCTTCATCACATCAATAGATTCTAGTTTCTAATCCAGGACACATTAATCTCTAAAGCAGCAGAATCTTCTCTGTGTATTTTCTAAACGTATAACAAAAATCCATCTAAATCATCAAAGTAGTATTTGTTTAGCAAATTATTTATATGGTTTTTACTCTTCACAACAATTACTGCACATCTGAACTCCTCTAACTGAAGTACAATTGTTTTTAATATTTGTCTCGACCTTTAGTTTTTAAAACAAATTTATTTTATTTTGAACTATATGCATCTTGGAAAGAGTTTATTATAGGCTTTGCACTTAGTCACTGTTTTTCTAAACTCTATTAAATAAGTACAACAAAGAAATATGGTTCTTCGTTTATGGTGGGATTTTAACGCTAAACTGCTTCTTGGCCTCTGTCTGAATATCATGCAAGTTTCTGCAGAAAATAGCACCAAGGACTTTAGCATATTCTCCAGAAGCAACGGGAATATTACAACTTGGACATAAAACTGTAAGTTTTGATGACAATAAAGATTTATCTTTGTTTCTACTCTCCCTAAAATGTAGGATGTTCTCTCTATGAGAGTCATTTTCAATATGTGCCCATTTAAATATCTAATGTGCTTATAGCAGTAAAAGTATCTTTTCATGGGTTATCTGCACTAAGGCTGCTTAGACTTAGAATCACTTCATGATCACTGTTCTGTGATACATGTAGCTAAATAAAATAACAATAATAAATAGTAAAATGCCACTTTTCTACTGTGGTATTTTATTTAATTTTCTAATTTCAGAAATTAGAAAATTAGGTTTGGGAGTCTTATACACAGTACATGCTCTGTATGTTTGAATGCATTTTGTGTCACAACAAAAAATTCTGAGAAAAAGCTAAAATCTTTTTTCTGCCAAAAAAAAAATGGTTAAGTCATTTTCCGTACAATGAATTGTAATTTCTGCCTGAAATGACTTTGTTGCAGGGATTTAATCCTCATGGATGTCCACAGCATTTCAGTATCAACATCAGATTCTGAGCACCTGATTGTAGTTTATAAGTTATTGACAGGTAGTTATTTAAATGTCTTGTAAAACCAGTCGTGGTTGGACTGGTGGAACGGCTTTCAGAACCCGGTAGAAATTTGGTAACACTTTATTTGATGGTGTGTGCATAAGACTGATATGACACCCTCATAAACATGAACAAGTCTTTATGAATGTCTGTGACCATTGTCATGCAGCGTCATTCGATACATAATGACTTTTTTAATCCAATGTTGGCAGTCTTAATGGACTTTCATGTCAGTCTTATACACCCCCGTGAAATAAATAAAGTGTTACCAAAAATTTTCCTTTATTTTTAAAACTAAAACTTGACAGATATGCTTGTTTATTCACCTGAAAATCTCACATGTTCCCTTCTGGTCAGACAAACTGCCTTTGTTAGAATAACTCCAAAAAATTCCCTTTGGATACACAAAGACATTAAAGTGAAGGAATCTTTCTCTTACTCAAATTTAAAAGATGTTTTTTTCTTCTTTTTGTCCAGATACACACACACAGTGCCGGGTGTGTAAAGAGGAGGAGGTTCTCAATGAGCCTAGCAACCAGGAGGAAAACTCCAGTTTAGATGAAGAGGATCCAGAACCTCTGCAGATAAATCAAGAACCAGAACCTCTGCACATAAAACAAGAGTATGAGGAACCAGAACATCAACAGTTCAAAGAGGAAGAGAATCAACTCTACATCAGTCAGGAAGAAGAGCATCTTGTACTGAAACAGGAGACTGATGACACTCTGACAATTCCTTCTAATGTGCAAATAATCCACAATGAAACAGAACCACAGAGGAACCAACTCATCTCTCTGAAGTTGAGACTCCAGACCAGGAAGGAAACTATTCTGAAAACTCAACAAAGAGAGAAGAACAGGAACAAAATGAGGATGTCATAAAACCAAACAACAGGAAAGCAAAATTGACCGTTCAACCCAAAAGAAACACAGGAAATTACACCCAGATCAAAGACTATATTCTTGTAAAATTTGTGATAAAACCTTTTCTCGAACCAGATACTTGACTAAACACATGAGAAATCACAGAAACAAGAAATCTTTTACATGTTCAACTTGTGGAAAAAGATACAGTCAAGAGGCTTGTTTAATTAATCACATGAGAATTCACACAGGTGAAAAACCATTCACATGTGTGGCTTGTGGAAAAAGTTTCAATTACAAAAGCACGTTAAGGATTCACATGAGACTTCACACAGGTGAGAAGCCTTACTCATGTGGGACCTGTGGAAAAGGTTTCCAGAGTAAATATAACTCACTTCGTCATATGAGGATTCACATTGCTGAGAAGCCGTTTTCATGTGCGACCTGTGAAAAATCTTTTGTGTGTGAATCTGATTTAGTTAATCACATGAGAATTCACACAGGTGAGAAACCTTTCTCATGTAGGACCTGTGGAAAAAGTTTCTCAAAAATATAGTTTAACTTATCACATGAAGACTCATAGAAGTGAAAAGGTTTTCTCATGTGCGACTTGTGGAAAAAGTTTCTCTCAAAAATACAGTTTAACTTATCACATGAAGACTCATAGAACTGAGAAGGTTTTCTCATGTGGGTCCTGTGGAAAAAGTTTACAGATAAAAAAAGTTTAAATTTTCACACGAGAATTCACACAAGTGAGAAGCTGTTCTCATGTGAGATCTGTGGAAAACGTTTAAGTCATAAAAAAAGTTTAACTGCTCACATGAGAATCCATACAAGTGAGAAGTCTTTCTCATGTGGGACCTGCGGAAAATGTTTCATTCGAAAAGGCAATTTAAAGGATCATATCAAAATTCACACAAGTGAGAAGCCTTTCCCCTGTGGTACCTGTGGAAAAAGTTACAGTGAAAGAAAGAGTTTAACTCTTCACATGAGAATTCACACAGGTGAGAAGCTTTTCTCATGTGAGACTTGTGGAAAGAGTTTTTGACACACAAAAAAAGTTTAATTGCTCACATGAGAATTCACACAGGTGAGAAACCTTTCTCTTGTCAAACCTGTGGAAAATGTTTTATGTTTAATTCTAGTTTGCTTTATCACATGAAGTCCCACTTAATTGAGAAACCTTTCTCCTGTGGAACCTGTGGAAAAGTTTCAGTCAGAAATGTAATCTAACTTATCACATGAGAATCCATACAGGTGAGAAACCTTTCTCCTGTGGGACCTGTGGAAAAAGTTTCAATCAAAAATGTAATCTAACTTATCACATGAGCATTCACACAGATGAGAAACCTTTTTCTTGTGAGACGTGTGGAAAAAATTTCTCTCGAAAAACAAATTTAACTGTCCACCTGAGAACACACACACAAGTTTTATGGAATAATGTGAACTTCATGTACCAGGATTCTCAGTAACTTGCTGTTCAGAAGAAGAGTAACTGCAGCTGGATCACATTATTAAATGTAACTGCGTTGTTTCAAATAGGAGATTTAACTGAAATACTAAACATTCACTTTGTTCTCACAGTTTTATCTTTCCATTTGAAAGGGATATTTTGAGTGAGATATGGCTTAAGTCACACTTCTCAGGACCTTCAAAGCTGCTGGGTGGGAAATTAAATTGTGCTAAATAATGATCAGATATGTTTTCCCTTTTAGATTGTTTAAATGTCTGCAATGACCTTATTCGTGTTAGTTTCTTAAACTGTAACGTTTTTTGCCCATGTCTTTTTTTGTCTGTGACATGGTTTTTATGTTTTGGATAGAAACTGTATTGATGATGTGTTTTGAATTACAGATAGAAAAATTACTTGCAGAAAAAACTTTCTTCATAATTCTCAGATAAAGATTATTTGCCGTAATTATGGTCTTTTTCTTGTTTCTGCTTAATAGAATATTGTGATTAGCAACATGTAGTGTCAGCAGTTCACCACCAGAGGACATACTGAACACGAGTAATTCAGCACTGTAACAACGTTGACCAATTGAAACACTTACTTGCTCTCATGTCTAAGAGGTGAATATAAATTAGTGACACATTAGTAACAATGTGTGTATGCGAGAAGTCTC